ATATGTGCAAAGTTCTATGTCGAAAACAGACAAATAGACAGACCTGGCTGGGGACTCTGCGGTTTGAACAATTTGAACCCAGGACCTCCCCAGGTTAGAAAGTGGACTTGTGGACAAGTCATTCAGCCACTGAGATTGAACTCAATGTCCACTACACGAATTCCAACTTCTACCAATTCGCGATTTCCACATATAGCTTAACCAATCAGCCAAAGTCATCCTCCTGGGTTTGAACCCCCGGTTTTTTTAGGTGGGTACTTCGAAAGAGTCCCAAACTAGGAGAACAAAAACAGCTATCCAGTACTCTCACGTCTACTCTATAAAACCTTTAAGATTAATTATTAATTCTAATGTTTATCATATTGGAAGAGAGATACAGACAGACACGGAGAGAGAGCGAGAGACAAACACCCTCATACGCTTACTCTAAATTTTACTAACATGACGCCCCCCCCTCTCCGCTCATTAAGGTCAACACCAGTTAATCAGTAAATTGTATGTAAACAAAACGGAAAGTTCATTCAATTACATACTACTGACAAGTCATGATTTACAGCTGACGCTTATACAATGTAATAAATAAAACACACAAAAATAAACAGAACTGAATCTATAATCAATTAAATGCATACCAGACAAATAAACTCTAACGGGCTGCTTAAAACTTGCTCTACCAAAAACAACTTCCATCTCTCTCTCTCTCTCTCACACACACACACACTATTGCATATTATTATCTATCGTCCTCTTTGTTTTAATCAATTAAGATACCACCTCCACTGATGGTATTATCTACTCTTGTGTGTGTGTGTGTGTGTGTGTGTGTGTGTGTGTGTGTGTAGTTTTAAAATGTTTACAAGTTTCTGTTTCCTAAGTTCCTGAATCAACTTCAGGAATGGCCGGATTGTGGGTATGGCAATGTGTTCCAATATAACATGAGATAACTGTTCATCAGTTATGTTTGTTCTTGGGTGTCAAAATCTACATCTGAACATCTTACAAGGTTGGCTTTCAACTAGATATCGTCGGGTTTCTTGAAGGAGATATAGCAGATATATCACATAGTGGAATGGTTTGTGCTTCAGCTCAGAGAGAGCATTATGTCACAGGAAGGATATATATATGAGATGCTCACTGGCGACTAACCCTATTCAGGCAGATAGTTACCTGGGATTCTAGAGAAAAGTCGTAACCAGTAGGGTGTGAGGACAAACATTCGCCGAAGACATTAGTTAGCGGTCGCGCTATGCCGTGAATTAGCAGAAGTTGGAATTCATGCACTGGCCATTGGAGGCTCTCAGTGGCTTAATGGTATACGGGCTTGCTGGCCTTGTAATCAGAAGGTCTTGGGTTCGAGCCCTAAGTTGGGTGCGTACTGCTGAAGAGTCCTAAACAAGGCTGACGAAACAGCTCATGATGAAATCTTGTAACCAATCAATCAAATCCCTAAAAACCAATACCTGAATAATATATTTTACTTGAAGGCATTGTACGAAGAGAGAATACATCGTCCAATCAACTCCTCTGAAAATACTTTACATTTTATAAATATTGTCCAGTATAAAGATGCTGTTATTATTATTATTATTAAGGTATATCACCATTACTTTTTTTATATTTTTGATTACAGCTTGATTCCACGCTGTGTTTTTGGTACAAGTATGGAATTTTCAGCATGCGATATCGGTAGGCTAAATTTGCAGGCTGACAATCGATATCAAGTGTGCGACTGCAGGGGATCGCACCCTGGACCATGTGCATGGTCGGGCACAGTCCCAACTGCTGTGTGACTGACGCACAGGCTATCTGTTTGCAGTATTACACACTTATGATGAAGAGAGGATGATCAAGGTTTGAAATGTTTCTGCATTCCTGGCCTACATCACCACAACTTCTCTCAACAGTTTAGTCTTCCATCCGAGATGAAGTAATTTTTGGGGTGGCGTCCACATGAAGTATCTGACCATCGACAAACAAAAATGCATAATTTTTTTGTCACTTTATATCTAATGAAGATTCTATCCATTGCCTTGCCTTATACACTTAATTCCAAACCGATAAGTCCTGAATTTGAATCTTGCTTCATCAGGAAGTATCTAGGTGACGATCACATCCTGGCTGCTTGCATCGTGAAAGCTGTTTGCTCCTTCAAAATACTCCAAACACAACGACCGTTCGTGTTCCATGACCGCATAGTCCAGGGGACAACTGCTTACTGCGATTCATACACGACCTACTGGATATGGTTTTTCGAGTTGTGTCAAATATTAAGATCTTACTAACAGCTACAAATAGCAAGAGGATATGTCGGAATGCACACTTTTTGGGGTTGACCTTATCTGAATGAAGAGAGGCAGTATAACTGGCTTGCTGATCATCTGAGAGGAACAGATGACTAACGTCACACGCTTAATCACCGCTAGCAGTGAAACTTAACCATGTAACCGCAAACATAGTTTAAACGACTTACTGATGGTAACTCCTTTTAGTCAAACTCTTATCTAGGATACCTTTCAAGTATGGTAGGATCTACAGGAACATTTATTCCGGTAAATGTAACTCAGTAGGACATTGCCATATGCAAGTTAGCGGCTGTCATGTCAAGGGAAAAGCCATCAGTCGAGATTATTCACATAGCTTAAAACTGTTCAATAAGTGGCTGGCAATAACGGTAACAAACTTAGTGTCGTTACCTTATCGGTTAACTTGAATTTTGTGCATCAACCACTCTGAGTCTAATTCTAATCTTTATTTTCTCTGTATAACACGATGCGGAACACACTGCAAATAACTACTATAGAAGGCATCAAATCAAATCTAAAGAAGCCGATTACGTCTCCGCACACACGTACATAAACACGTTCACACCATCGAAATCCCCTAGGCCAACAACTGCTACCTTGTCGTGGTAGTTGCCCTTGAATATTACTATGACCCAACAGGGTACACCGGCTGGGACTTACGTTCCTGAAGGTCCTACTATGTCAGGAAGGTTGTTTGGATAGTGGTTAAACTAAAAGCAGTTACCATGGGGTGTATATGAGCTCCAAAATCCCATCAGATCAACTGGCGTATGAACCTGTATTGGTTACTGGCAACCATGGATACGTCGCTCCTGACGCTGCTTCGCTGCCTTGCAGATTAGACATCATGTCAAAGGCTCAGGAGTGGTCCCTAAAGACAACCACCCGCTTCGGACTGGGCAGCCAGGCAGTATCTCAGCTTTCACACAGTCAATGAAATAGACCTCTTTATTAGCTAAAGTAAACAAACCCTGAGTTAGGTGAGAAACGATAATAAATTCGTAAAATTAATCGTCTAAATACTTCTCTTTAAAGAAAAGATCTTTTTCGACAATATCTCCCTTACACACTTTCTTGAATTCCACGGAACATCAATCCAGTAATTCTTAGTAACGCAGACAAGTTTTGAACAGTTATCCATGACATCAGCTCAGTCGAGTTATCCAGCTTCTTTTAAATTTCCCGATGATTAAATTTTATTGAGTCGAAATACTTGGTTAAACAAGAATAAGTCGATCACAAAGCATTACCAAAGTGTCTGGTACTAGTGGTAGCAGCTGGTAAACCAAAAGAAAGTGGACATTTCAATCCAACTGAAATATCAAATCAAACAACTAAAAATTCAAGAGCTTCAATAACCCCAGTAACAGATAACCATTACATAAGATTTGGCTGGTGCAGCTAAATAGGCTAGTGGATGAAGCTTTGGTATTTGAAACAATGGGTGGTGCTAGGTTCGAGTTCTACTGCAGACACCACCAACAATCACTGGGAGGTAGCTACATACCTCCTGAACTTGACACTGCGCTAATCACTACCAAGTAAGTTTTCCTCTTTCCCCAAATAAAAATATTCATTTCCGCTTTGTATATTTCGAAGTAATTTAAGTAATTTAGGACCATTCATAAGGATGTACCTGCATTCCCCCCCCCACTGAGTGATTGTGCCTCCATCGAGACCTGAACAAATATACCTTAGACCACCTGGGACACAAGAGTCACTCACCTCTTGTTCAAACGGGCATTAGGTATTATTTGTTTGAAAAGTCAGTTTCTTGATTTCCTCCTTCATATTAGGAGCCGCACAACATATCAACAGAGGCCGAACGTTTCAGTTCAATCAGTAGACGGGAAAATTTAAAAAAACTACTTAAAAACTACTAATTTATGTATTTCAATTTAATATCAGTTAATGTATCCATATTTTCAAAAGTTATAGAGCAGGTCAAGAGAACCTGATATTTTGAGTAAAATTCAATTTTACCACCCTATTCACACTTTTTATTAACGGGAAAACGCCTTAAATTCATTAGTTTGTTTATAAGGATTTGATTGGTTTAGGACTGGTGATGAGTCCCAAACTAGGACGAAACATCCTTCTAGTGCTCCATGCTGATTTTCAATGGTTCTCTAAATGATATCAACGAACCTATGGTCAAACCATTTAATGATTTCTAAAGCAAACAATTTTGTTGCTGGTAGTATCCGAATCGCACAAACATATACACTATTTCCAATGTGAACTTCATCATAAACTGATGTAAGATTGAAAAACAAGAAGCACTAGATTGGGTGCTTTGTCCTTCCTTGATTGGAACTCGCTCTGTCTCTTCAGCAGTGCATACCCACCACAGTCAAACAAAGGAATCGAATCCAGGACTTCTCAATTATGACGTCAGCTCTACTGATCATTTAGCTACACTCCTGGGTTGCAATTCAGTGATTCGTTCGTGAATTTCTAACCTCAGGGTGATCGATTTGCTAGCACTAATACAACTGGAATGAGGAACTTTAGTAACATAGATGATTGGGTTGCATATATATATATACATGGATGCAGGTGAAAAGTACAGCAGAGGACAGAAGCAAATGGAGACGTGCAGTTGAAGCCCTATGTTTCACTAGGAACCCAAGGGAACAATAATAATAAATATAAAATATTGATTTAAACAATGGAATTCTAAAATACATAACTTACACTATGCGACCTACGACTCGGTTGCATATACCATATATCAAATATGTCTGGTAACCAGACACGACTATAAGGAAAGAGAGAAAGAGAGAGAAAAGGTGACAGAAGAAAATGCATGTTATATTTTAGGAGTGACAGAAAAAGCAACTTGAATACTTTGACTACAACACAGTTAAAGAAGAAAAAAAAGACTTTTGTGTACGTGTAAATATGCTTTATTTGCTTTATGAAATTCAATCTAATAATAAAATGAGTTGCTGATACTTAATAATTTTTTTTTAATAATTCATTCACGTTCCCCCAGTGGAACATAGAGCACCTTCAAGCTAGAGACTTGGGGTTGCCAGCCTCATGCCCAACCTTCCTTCTTTACCAGATCTCTTACTGGCTTAGAGAGGTAAAGGAGTGCTTCGGTGGCCGGGAGCGGAACCCCAAACCACCTGTGTGGTCGGCGAGCATTCTACCGCTGCGCCACTGACGCACTATACTTAATAATTAGACAGGTATTGAATATGCTAATAGACTCAAAAACAATTCTAGATACTTTGTAGCAAGTTATGTTATTATTATTATATCCTTTAATTCCTAGAGGAACATAGGGCTTCGGCCGCGAGTTTCCATTGCGTTCGATTTTCTGCCAACGTTTTCACCTGGCTCCACGTTTGCCTATATGCTTTCATCTCCTCTTCACATCACCTCCTCCACAAGTCACCCTTGCACTCACGACTAACTCGCCGCTTCCCTTTCGGGTTCCACTCGATCAATGGCTAGTCTAGTGATGTCACTTGATGGTTTGTTTTCTCAGATTATGGCCAGCCAATCCATCTAACTCCATTTCTTCCTGCCTATTTGTTGCACAGTCAGTTCCTGCTGGGTTGGTTCGCTCAGTGTCAGAGATCCCTGTTGCTGATCCTTTCTGGCCAGCCATCTGATCTTGAGTATTGAGCGAAGACAACTGTTGATGAAGGTCTGTAGTTTGTTTGAGGTCCTCTTCATGACGCGCCACGTCTCTGATCCATATAGTGAGTAGCACTCGCTGACTTCATATTGGAGTTGAAAATCCGGATTTTGTTTTTGATGCTGAGTAGTGCTGTTGACCTTCACATAGACTTGAGAGTAATGAAAGCTTGTCTTGCTTTTCCGATCCTTGCTTTGATACTCTCATCAGTTCCGTTGGCCTGTAGTTGAAACGATGCTTCCCAGGTAGGTAAAGGAGGGTGTTTCTTTCAGGTTCCTCCCATTTATGCTGACTGATTGTTATCTGTTTTTGTAGTTGCTGTTGGTGTTGGCCAGGAATCTTTATCACCTACCTCTGTTTTCTCCATGTTCACCTGAATGATGTCCTGTCTTCTTTGGATGCTTCTTGTGCCAACTTGTTGCTTTTCACTTGCATATCTTCCAGTTTGTGGGAAATCAGACATATATCATCCACGAAGTCCAGATCCTCCAAGTTTTTTGTGTGTTATGTTATACAGCTATACAATATAGCATGTGGAAAAAGGAACTTTAGCAGGCGGACCTATTGCCCAACATAAATGTACACTCAGGTCGACAGATAGATTAGACATATGCTGAGAAAATAAACCTCAGGGATCTTGAGTGGAATCTAAAATGAGAAGTGATAAGAAGGGTGATGTCCAACACAGTGACAGATATGGAAAAGATCATGAGATCGTGTTGTGGTAGTGTGATACATTGACAGTGGGGTTCCAACGGAATATTATTCTCACAGTGAGAATTATCGTATTTTTTTTTGGTGTTAACGTCTGAATACTGTTCCCACAGTCTAATAGTGCATTAGCAACAGAATACTGTATATGCGCATATTTGAACATTCTATTTCATGTTGTTTAATGCAAACCAAAATTACACGCTAAGTGATTGGTTAAAGAATATATAAACTGTATAGATACATAAATAGCGCTTTGATCGATGGAAAATATACCTTTGCTTTCGTGTCGTGCCTTCGGATGTTACAGTGTGAGAAAGGGATGAAAGTTTTGAGGCGATTGTAAAGTCATTATACTAAAAATTTATGCCATATTAGTTTGTTTCTTAGATGTATCACACAGTGAAACTGTATTATTGACTGGATATGACTTAAGATTGCTGCTGATTTAATCGTTCTGAAATGAAAATTTCCCCTCTAATAATTTATTGAACTTTTTGATTTGAGCATTTTTTTTTAACTTTTTGAAAGTTACTGATTTGACATTGCTAGAGGACTGTGTGTTATAAGCTCATAATACACATTGGCTGGTAACTATTCCCAGTAGCTTTTGTTGTAATTGCTCAATTTCATATCTGATACGTGGCAACTTTTTATCAATTCTATGGATCTCTTCTTTCAGGTATCATTTTTGTAGACTTTCTATTCTGCTCCTAACACTCTGTCTGCCGAAACTGGAGATCGTAGACGTAGGTATTTAGGAATTTTTTCTTACGAGTTGATCACAGATTGATATCAGTTAGAGAAGCCTTGAAAACCAGGGAGTACTGAACAGCTTCTGTTTCATCCTAGTTTGGGAGTCATCGGCAGTACGCCTTTTAAGCATGGTATGTTGAAAATACGACGATTTGCATATCTTGCTTCAGTTTGCAAAAGTTGAGTGAGTTCATTGCAGAACGATGAAATCAACAATCTAAATAATACTGTTTCACTCACTGTGTGTGATACATCTAATAAACAAACTAATATGGAATTACTTACTACCACAGTGCTCAAGTTTTACACATATATTAATACTGGAAATGTATTGTTCAAAGAGAATTAGCTATGATATTCGATTGCAAAATTATAAACGAACGGAAGAAAGTGAAAACTGTACACTGGCGTTGATAAAAAGCCAACGCATTCTCATAAATATTTAGCCCGTAATTCATCTCATCCATCGTTATCTGTAAGGAGAGACTCAGTTAAGTGTCTAACAAACCGAACAATAACAACTTTATGTAGTACAAGAAGGGACATGAGCTCCTTCAAAGTTGCAGATACGCCTTCCCGACTGATGGGGATTTCCAGCTAGCACGAAACCTAGGGGTCAGACAAGGCTTCCTGTGGCCGATTACCTCCAACCATCTTCTAATCTCATCAAATCAATATGCATCGTGATGGTGAACTACTTAGAATGCTGGCCACATTACAAACCTGACTGATAGAATTCACTCTGCACCAAACAGAAAGGACTAGCCAGACACATCACACTAGTTACTGACCAGTGTGCAATCAAAATCTTCTTCTTTATTTCGGCTATCTCCTACGGGAGGATGAGCCGGCTTCATGAACCATGAAGTTTCATGGGAATTGGGTACGAGTGATGTCCCCAGCATCGCTCAGGATACTATACACTAGTTACCAGTGTCCAATCAAAATACTATGTAATACATCAAAAAAAACCTAAAAGGATGCAATGAAACAGAGACGAGAAGAAGCATTGGTGTTAAATAACTAACTATCCTATAAAATTCATTAGGAATATCAAAAGAGGTCAAAAGCAAAGTAAAAATAATGAGGAAACCAAATAACGAAAACACAAATAAGGAGGAATATAAGGCATCTATGTGAAGTTTCATTATAAAACGGGTGGGGGACATCTGAAACCCTACGTATGATTCTTAAAAAAGCAGAAATTATGGAGGCATTTAAACCTACAAACTCATTCAGGAATAAGTAATGTAGGTTGAAGTGTGGCATGTGCTACTGATAAGATTTATCAGTAGTACAAAAAAGAGACGTTCATCGGCTGGCATGAAAACAGCAAATAGAAAGGAGACAAATTTGATGTCAGAGAAAACAAATGATCCAGCGTTGAGGAGATACATGGGAGACGTGAAAAAAAAAGCCAAAGAAACACAATATGAAGGAAGGGTAGAAGTGGCACATCACGAAGGTCTGTGTTAATGATGCGTTGAAGATAAGGTGTACATGATTTCGCCATCCCTCTACCAAGTCTTCCGTCTTTTATCGTTTCAGAAGTACCCTGTGCTGACCAAATTAAACAAAGTAGTATAATTTACAAAATATGTCGCAATGGCTGTGAGTTAAGTCAATCAACCATATAGGTGAAACCGGTAGATCAAGTCAGTAGTCAGATAACCTTACTTACTTACTTTACTTTACTTCGGCTATCTCCTACGGGAGGATGAGCCGGCTTCATGAACGTCTCGAATCATCGCTGCCCAGGCGCGGCAATTTGTAAGAGAGTTCATGAAGTTTCATGGGAATTTGGTACGAGTGATGTCCCTAGCGTCGCTCGGCCTTTGGTTTGAGAGTGCAGCTCTAGCCTTTACACAACCAAGTGTGACCTACAAGGCTGTAGGAGTGGAGTAGGCAGTCCACTATCCATTGGCAGCCGGTGACCAGAGTTCGGTTCATACGCCTTTTTGAATGGGGCCAGACATCCAGGACATCCAACAAGCCCTTTGTCCATACGTCTGCCGGTGAGCTCCAGTGAGCTTCATACGCCAGTCGTTGGAGGTTTGGAATCAGGGTTTAGCCATCTCCCCTAGACCGTCATCCAATGGACAGTCAACCCGGTGGAGAGCGCCGGGCATCCGCTTTCGCCCTCTCACTTTGGTGAAAAACACCTCCGCCACGTGAAGGCAGTGAGTAGGACTTCCTCAGGAGAGGCTATGTAAGACGCACGGTCATATGGGAGCATTTCAAGAGGTGTGCGGAGGGGTGGCCAACCCGCAGCGCAAGACACCCACCCCCGACCATCCTGAGGCTTTGGAGTCAGATAACCAACGAAACAGCAATAACAACAACCACCACGAATCACCATTAACGGGAGACTTTTGAAAGAGGTTACTTCCTTCACTACTTATCTGGCCAAGAAGCATGGTTTCAACCACAAGCAGACAAAACGGATGAGGATGTCAAAGCAAAACAGAATCAGGAAGGCAAGATACGCCTTCACCAACTTGAAACCACCAGTTTGGAAGACTTCTACACTCTGTTAGCAAGGAGAACATGATTCGGATTTTCGACACAAATGTTGAGTCAGTCGAGTCTTCTATATGGGTCAGAAACTTGCAATGCGCACACCTCAAGGAAAGTATTCCCAACAAGTTACGGACTTTTACCAACAACTGCCCACTTCGCTAGCTGGCTCCATACTGAAGGTCAAATGACCAACCGACCAGAAAAAATCAACAACAAGAAATTCTGGCTGGTAATAAAACCAACAAGCAAGACCCGATTGCTCAACAAATATGTAGGAAGAAATGGAGATGGATTGATTAGGCATACATTGAGGACACTGTCGAATGATATCGCGCGCAATACATGCTATCACTCAATTCAAGTGGAATCCGAATCGAGGTCGTCCGAGAAGGAAATGAGAAATTATGGGCTTACTATCTAGAGTTAATACACTAGGTGAGGTTTAGATTTAAGAGGAGAAAAGTAACCAGATTAATGAATGCCACGTGTCAGGTGATCGACAGTGAGAAACTCAGGGAGACTTACGGAGTGCATATAGGAGTAAGACAAGCTGACTGACTGCCTGTCTATTATCACCACGGATGATATTCTTAATTGTGGTGGACTGGATTATCCGTGAAACTGTTCTTAGGGAGTGAGGAGACAGGAGAATACGCTGAGCGACCAATAAGAAAACTCTAGAAGATCTGGATTTCGCACGTGGATGATTTATGTCAAACATCACACACACACACACATACAATCTAGAAGACTGACAGGCGAGAAACAACAAACTGGTAGAATAAGCAGCGTAGACAGGACTCCAGATGAACATAGAGAAGACGGAGGTGATGAAGATAACCAAAATCAACAGCAATAACAAGAACAATCAGCATCAACGTGAGAGATTTGACAGAGGTTACCTCCTTCAACCACAGGCAGACGGGACGGATCAAGATGTTCAAGCTAGGTGGAGTCGGAAAGGTGAGATACGCCTTCATCAACCTGAAACAAGTTTGAACATCTTCAGTACTGACTCAGCCAGCATAAAGAACAAGATCTGGATTTTAAGCACCAATGTTAGGTCAGTCAGTTCTTCTGTACGGGTCAGACACTTGCACTGCGCATGCATCACGAAAAGGATTTCCAACAGACCACTGGAGACTTTCATCAACAACTGACTTCGCTGGTTTTATACTGAAGATCAAATGGCCGGCTGGCCAGAAAGAATTAGCAATAAGAAACTCTGACTGGAAACAAACCAACCAAAAGCCGATTGCTCAATACATCTGTAGGAGGAAATCGAGATAGATCAGACACACGCTGAGCAGACTGTCAAATGACACTGCGCTCAGTGCAGGCCATTCTGTCTGTCTGTCTGTTTTCGACATAGAACTTTGCACAAATGTGCGGAAGTTCAAGTCGCCACATTCCGTGTAGCACACAAAGCAAGAGAAGAAAGTACAAGAAAAGCATAATAGAGACAGTAAGCAGAGGTGTGAGACAGAGGAAGAGTAATAACCAAGAACAAAACAGTTTCATTGGAAATCATAAATCACTAGGAGTGGATGCATCTGCGCCACTGAGAACGATTTTGAGCCATGTCACCAAATGTTTCCAGCCATTGGTTTTTACCGTCCCGAGGACCCCAACCAGTCAGGAAGTCTACACCTACATACGTGGCTTAGACCAACTGTTGTGGATTTCATTGACTGGTGAAGCCAAGTTTTTGTTTGACCGCCGCTAGCTTTTTTCCAGCCTGACCCTATATCCGCTAACATTGCTCATTGTCGAGGGAGGCGATGACTTGGCATACGTAACACATGTCCTAACCATCTCAGTCTTTGTAGCTTCACGACTTCGTCGATTGATTTCCCCAGTTTACCTAGAACTCGACGCCTAACCTCCATGTTGCTCACCTTATTATGCCACTTTACACGGGAAATAGAGCGCAGGCACCTATGATCAAAGACAGCTAGTAGCCCTTTTCATGTCTTCCACTCTGAGTGGCCAGGTCTCACAGCTGGCCATAAAGGAGGACGGAGCGGACTGATGAGCAGTACACCCCCCCCTTTGGTCGATAGCCAGTCGAACATCTCGTCTACGCCAGAGTCGGCGTAAACTGGCATATGCGAAAGGAGCCCCCTGTATTCGTGCTGAGATTTCGTCAGAGATCAACCCGTTGGCACTGGCTGATGGTACTTCCCAAATAAGTGAAGCGGTCAACGTGCTCTACCACTTCACTTCCTATTTTTAAACTAGGCGTCGATGTAGTCCAGTCCTGTAACATCATCTTGCATTTGACAGCACGAGCGAATCGCATGCCAAACATTCGTAGATTGCGGCTCAAGGTGTTTAGAAGACTCTGCATTTCGTCAGCGTCTTCGCCTAGAAGGACTATATCGTCTGCATATTCCAAGTCAACGAGATTATTCCCTGGTAGCAAGTCAATCCCTGAGTCGCTGAAGTCACTTAGGGTTAAGTCCATTAACACATTTATGATGAAGTTGAATAGAAAATGAGCATCCTTGACGGACACCACTGGTCGTCATCAGATCAGATGACAGCTCGCCGTAAGCCCTCACCTGGCTGTATGAGTACGAGTAGAGTGATGGCCTTAATCAGTGCAATATATTTTCTCGGAATTCCCTTTACAGCCAAGCATCTCCAGAGAACTTCTCGATCGACCAGGCCATTGCTCGAATAGAACCCCAGTGGGAAGCAAACAGTCTGCCGTTGGTCCGACGGTGATATGGAAGAGATAGTGTTGCGTGTAAGAGATGAGAGATTATGTTTAATCGTGGACCCAACTGAAGAAGGAAGGCAGCAGGAGATAGAATAAAGTGGAGATGTCTTGTTGAAGCCAGCCCTATGTTCCACTCGGAACCCAAGGCAATAATAATACTAAATAATAATAATAATATACAATGAAGACCATGAGAGTAATAACTTACCTAATCTCATCAAAATATTTCGGATAGAATGGTGTAAAAATCAAGAATTTATTCAATTGCATACAAGGCGACCCAGTAATCAAATCACTACAAATGCTGGGACGAAGTGTTAACCATATTTCTTCAATTGACGTCTTTGGAAAGAATCTGTTAAAATTACAAAAGAGAGGAAACAGCAGCAGAAGAAGAAGAATGAGAATCGAAATCAGATAATCACAGATGATGACTAACACTCATCACAGATAACATAGGCTCAAACATCTATATATGCATGTACAAAAAGAGTGAAATATATTTCTAATGTTTCATTTATAAATGCCTTGACATAAAACAAAACTTACATGTTTGATATGGATGGGGCGTAACTGTTTTTTTTTTAATTATTCTATTACTTCACGTTCCCAGTGGAACATAGGGGGCTTCAAGCTAGGGGCTTGAAGTTTCTGTAGCAGTGTTTATTTTTTACAGGATGGGGTGGCTAGTCTCATGCCCAACCTTTCCTCTTTACCAGCTTTTTTAAATATTGGCTTAGCGAGGTAAAAGGGTGCGCGCTGGCCGGGAATCGAACCCCGGACCATATGGATGGTTGGCGAGCGTCCTAACCGCTGTGCCACCGACGCACAATAGTTCTCTAACCAATGTCAATTCATGATGAAAACCTGTAAACAGTCAAATCCCTGCAAACCAACACTTGAATGCTTACTTGAATCTTTTCTTCAACTGAAGTTCTATTTGGCGAACGTTCGAATATCATACAGGATACCATCATTAGTGCTTGAAGTAAACTGGCTAATCACGACCGATTATTTGGTGATTATGAAAATGTATGCATAAAATGGGATTCATTATCGATTTATATACATATTTGATTTCTAAGTATTGGTTGTTTGATTTCCTTAAAGCAATACATGATCTACTTGTTAAGACATTGAATTTCAAACTTCCTGATGTCGTTAGGAGTTGAGTGTTTACGCCGATGAAGTGAATCATTCTGTACAGTCTTCTTTCTTCCTTTCTTCTTTGATTTCAAAGTAGAATATAGAGCTTTAACCCTTGAACTGACAAATCGTTCTCAATGGCTGGCTGGCTGGTGGAGATGCATCCACTCCCTGTGACTTATGATTTTCAATGACACTATATTGTTCTTCGTTATTAATAATCCCTTGCCTCACACCTCTGTTTACTGCGTCTAATATGCATTTCTTCTCTTGCTTTGTGTGCTACAAGGAGGGAGTGTGGCGACTTGAACTGGTGCACATTGGTGCAAAGTTCTATATGCAAAGCAGGCAGACAGACAGACAGACAGAAGCAGTATTGTTGTTCATTTTACAGGTTTTGGTTGGTAGCCGCCTAATTCTTAAACCGTTTAAGATAGTTAATACCTATTCGATTTGTGAGCCTATTTTTCTAAAGGTGGTTTGATTAAGTCATTTGACTACCACCATCATCAATCAAAATGCTTAAACTCTCCTGTATTTCTTATCGTCTTATTCATGAAACTGTTTGTTTCTATGACCACTATACATGAACTCGCGACCTTATTTAGTTTACTTTCAACAAAATGTTGTGTAACTTTTGAGAGAAATGAATAAAAAAACTACAGAAATGATTTTTTTTTCCTCATATTAAACAACACAGCTGCATATGATATACCTAGGAGTATTATTTTACATGTATATCTTGTACGAAGGCAAAATATTGTTGTACAATGTGTTTACATATTGTCTCAAATAAGGCTTCATTATTATTATTAGTAGTAATCAGTATTAGCAACAACAAAGACACCATACGATACCACTGAAGTTGCTATGCATGAAGACAGAGTGTTGAAGTGGAGAGCTTTTACTGTCTCGAATCGACAGCGGAAAGGATTGACAGTGCTGAAATGACCTTGAGAGACACTAATTACTTTGATGAGTTAAAATAGTCAGCAACCAGTAGGGTTCTAGGGTCACTAATGTGAGGAAAGGGTATAGAAACAACAGTTCGTTCTGTCCTCCTTTAGGGCTGTCAGTGTGATATGGCCATTGAAAGTGGAAGAGATGAAAAAGCCAGCTAGCTGCCTTTGGTTGTAGGTGTCTACATTCTATCTCCTGTGTTAAGTGGTATAATAAGGCGAGCAATATTGAGATTAGGCTTCGGTCGAAGGCTAGGTAATGAAGGAAAGTCAATCGACGACGTCTAAGCCACGTAGGAAGGTGTAGACTGGCTTGCTGGATGGGGTCCTCGGGACGGTAAAAATCTATGGTTGGAAACAATTGGTGACATGGCTCAAAATCGTTCTCAGTGGCTGGTGCAGATGCATCCACTCCCTGTGACTTATGATCTCCAATGAAACTGTTTTGTTCTTCGTTATTACTCCTCCTTTGTCTCACACCTCTGCTCACTGTTTCTATTATGCTTTTCTTGTACTTTCTTCTCTTGCTTCGCGTGCTACACGGAATGTGGCGACTTGAACTTCCGCACATTTGTGCAAAGTTCTATGTCGAAAACAGACAGACAGACAGACAGGACATGTGTTGCGCACGACTGCCTAACCATCCCCTTCTTCGACAAGTAATGTTATCTGACTGACAGAGTAGCAGATTGGAAAGGAATTAGCTAGTAGTCAAACCAGAACATGGCTTCATCAGTCAATGAAATCCACAACAGTTAGTTTAAGTCAGCTAGCCAACCATGTAGAGAGGTGTAAACTGGCTGGCAGATTGGTTGGGGTCCTCGCGATGATGGTAAGAACCAATGAAGACTAGAGACAGTTGGAAATAGGACTCAAAATCTTTGTCAATGACTGGCGAAGATGCATTCCACTCTCCGTCGTTCGCCAGTCATATCCAATAAAACTCTATTGTTGTTCTTCCATATTACTATTCTTTTCGCCTCATATTTCTGTTTATTATCTCTCCTTTGTTGAACCTCTCTTTACTCTCTTCTCTTGCTTCGTGTGCTATGTGGAGGGAGTGTGGTAACTCACACTGCTGTAGATCTGTGCAAAGTTCTATGCTGGAACCAGTCAGCCAGACAAACAGAATTGTACTGTGAATATAAATGTAGTATGTTAAAAAAATTAAGTCTATATGCCACCAATCTTTCCCCTTTGCCAGGCTTACTATGGCAATTCAAACCCAGACCACATTCATGGATGGCAAGTATTCTACCAATGAGCCACCGAGGCAAGCATTATGAATTATAAATTCATTCATTCATTAATTAGAATTTTAAAAATCAATAAAAAACATTAAAGAGCGCTTACTTTGAACATAAAGCGATAGAATGACATAGTTTATCTATTCTTGACCTGTAATAAACACGGGAAGAAAGCATAAAAAACAGTACATTTATAAAAAAAACTAAAATAAAGGTAAACAAACATAGAATAAATATGCATCACTTAAACAATGATAACACAAGATAAAAAAAAGACGAATGAATAGATTATTGGATTTATTGCAATGCCATTGGCTGATAATAGATATAACATCACATATCCAATCCAATCGCTGAATAAAATAATAACCCCCTGCTCATTGCATAACATTTAGGTCTTGATTTCGACCCCGAGTATTTTCATATGAGCTTACTTGTAAAGAATTTCATGAACTAGGCCCAGAAAGAGCTCCTTTCTTTGCCATGCTCAACTGCATAATATGTATTAAGTTTTGAGAAACGATTTTCCCCTCCCCCCTTGTAACAATTATCTTTTGTTTGTGTTAATTTTTACAATTCTAGCTAATTCTATTAATTTTGACTGCGTTATTAGAAGACGGAGATTATCTGAAAAGTTATGTGATGTGATGTGGATTTGCGCTATACATTTCGAACAATCTGATCCCTCACACATTTACTTGTCAAGTCAATATACATATGGAAAAGTTAAATTAAACAAAGTGACAATGTAGGTTAAGCGTAATAACAAACTGTTTTTGAATACACAGGGTGGGGGGTGGGGGCCTTAATTTTATGAATAGCTATAGCCTCAGCGTATTTCAATAAGCGCCCTTCACCGTTTTTATAGATCACCACCTTAAAGGCTGAGTTAACATCAATCTTATTATGATTCATCTCGATTAGATGTTTAGATATAGACGAAGTTGGCAGTCTGACTGACACCTGCATCTAATTCTATTAACTTGTTTGTATTCTACGTAAGTAATTCTGCTGAGTCATCCTATTCTTCTGAGTGATCATTATTCTACAGATGTCTTAATTACGTAATAACTTGTCGCTAATCTCTACGAGTTAACTGACCTATAATTCTGTAGCTAAATAATTAATTTTCAACTCCACCTTACAAAAACTTAGATATCTTTTTACTAACACATCTATTAGTTAGTATTTTTGATGACCTTCAACCTCTTAATTTCATCTCATTCTTCTATAGCTAAAAATTGATTAACTAAAATAACCGCTTGATTGCTACGAAGGTTTGATGTAAAAAGCAATTATATATTAGTGCAGAGTCAGCCGATGATGAGGAACTAAGTGAAGTGAAGGAATGCATATTTCTTCGCTCAATCAGTCGTCTTTTTTAAATGTGTAAATAAGATTTTTGAAATTACTGAAATCTTCTCAATGTGTCAAAAACTTCCATTGTACACACGTCAAGGAAAGCATTTCCAACAGGTCACTGAAGACTTTTATCAACACAGCTGCCACCTCCGCTGGCTCCATATTGCAGATCAAATGACTGGTCAGAAAAAACTAGCAACAAGAAAATCTTAATGGGAACAAACGAACGAACAATCTATCGTTCAACAAATGTGTAGACGAAAATGGAGATGGGTTGGGCATACGCCGCTGATGAAGCCGTCGAATGACACAGCGCACACTGCAAGCCATCACTCGAGTGGTAGCCGAATGGGAAACGACAAGTTATGCGTGTGTCCGAGGGTGAAATGAAGGAGATCGTGTGAGGAGGAGATTAGATATTATGGGCACAGTGGTTAGGACTCTCGCCGACCATGCACATGGTCCGGGTTCGAGCCCACGCCGACGCACACCTGATATCAATGGTCGGCCTGCAAAATTTGGGCTACCGATATCCACGCTGAAAATTCCATACTTGTACCAAAACTACGGTGTGGAATCAAGCAGTAACCAAAAAATAAAAAAAAATAAAAATGAAATCGTTAGGCCAGCTGAAGAGGACCTCAGTGAATAGGACAAAGTAAAGACGTACTGTTGAATTCATACGTTCCACTCAGAACCCAAGGGACCAATACTACTACTAATAATAAAATAAGGGACTATAGAATTATGGCTAAAATCTACAGAATACTTTTTAATGGCTATGAAGTCAACTGCAAACGTCAGGTTAATCAATTAGACATACTCAGATTATCGGTACAGAAGAATTTAGCTAAGCATAGAATGATCGACCCTGAGCAACCTTTTACAGCATTCATTAACACGCCCTTCGACTCCGTGGATCGAAAGGTACTATGGCAATGTTTGACTGTGAAGAAAGTGCCAAGAAAGTACATTGCACTAATCAAGACACTCTATTCAAACTCATGTAGCCGTGTAAGGGCTTATGGGGAATTGTCATCTGAATTGGTAACAACCAGTGGTGTCCGACAGGAATGTCCACTCTCCCCATTTCTGTTTAACTTCATCATAGATATGCTGATGGAAGTGTCCTTAACTGAACGTAGTGACTTAGGAATCGACTTGTTACCAGGGAATAATCTAATGGACTTAGAATATGCAGATGACATAGTCCTGTTAGGGGAGGATGCTGAAAAAATCCAGCAGAGTCTTCTGAACACCTTGAGCTGAGCAGCAATCTTCGTATGTTTGGCATGCGATTCGCCTGCTCCTGTCAAATGTAAGATGCTGCTACAGGACTGGACTACGTCAACTTCTAGCTTAGTGATAGGGAGTGAAGTGATAGAACATGTTGACCACTTCACCTATTTGGGAAGTTGTATTAACACCAACGGACTGATTGGCGATGAAATCTCAGCACGGATCCGAAATGCTCGAGCTGCTTTCGCTGACTTACACCATCTCTGGCGTAGGCGTGACATCCGGCTATCAACCAACCAAGGGACGTGTGTACTGCTCATCAGTTCGCTCCGTCCTTCTCTATGGCTCTCAAACATGGCCAATACGCGTTGAAGACATGAAAAGGTTGACTGCTTTCGATCATAGATGTCTGCGATCTCTGTCTCACGTTAGGTGGTTTAATAAGATAAGTAATGTTGACGTTAGGCGTAGAGTGTTGGGCAAACAGGGAAAATCAATCGACGAGACTATAAAGTTACATAGACTGAGATGGCTAGGTCACGTGGTGCGCATGCCTAACCACCGCCTCCCCCCCGCCGACGGGCATTACTAGCTAACTGATATAGGTGCAGGTTGGAAAAGAGTAAGTGGTGGCCAAACGAAAACATGGCCTCATCAATCCATGAAATCCTTGACAGTTAAACTGAGTCAGGTAGGGAGATGCAGACTTCCGGGTTGGGGCCCTCGGGACTCTAGGAATCAATGGCTGGAGACAATAGGTGACATGGCTCAAAGTGATCGTTGTCAATGGCCAGCGCAGATGTATTCAGTCTCTATAATCTTTCATATTCCTTTCTACCATTACCCATTCTGTTTCACTCTCATACTTGTCAAACTCTATTGATTCTCTCCACTCACCTTCTTGTCTAATTTGGTGTGCTATTTGGAACGTGGCAACTCGAACTGCTGCACTTCGGTGCCAAGTTCTATGTTGAATCCAGACAGACAGAACACGCAGTCATACAATGGGAAAGGACAAAAAATTCAGTTCTAAAAAATCATATAAGCAGATGGGAGGGGGAAAGGGTGGTTGGGAAAGGTTGGTCACTGAATCCTTCAAATATTCCCATTTATAGTATTAGAAGAAGACATATAAGCAAACAATATTGTTTTCAATTAGATCGTCTTCAGGCTTTACTCTAATTTACATAGATTTATATATAAAAAATTTTTAACCAATGACGGTGATTTTTTGGATCAAATAATAATAATAATGTGGTAAATGTTTTCGAATCCCAGTGGGTGCGTACTGCCGATGATTCCCAAACTAGGATGAAACAGCAGCTGTCCAGTACTCCCTGGTTTTCAATGGTTCTCTAACTGATATCAATCCGTGATCAACTCGTAAAACATAACTAATGCTTACAAACCAAAACTATAGAACGTAGTTAATAACGTTGATTATTATGATAACAAAATATTGATAATAAGGTTTATGCAGGTGGCGATAAGAACAACAAAGATAGTATATGTATATATGTGTATATGTAGACAATTCAATAAATAAATAAATTAGGCCAAATATACAATTGGTGGATTCCACTGCTAGCCACCATCCACCAATTGTATACAAATCAAATCCCCAGACATCGTCGAAGCATCTGCACAAGAGGCCGACATGTCAACCTGAGACCGAGCACTTCGGTCCAATCAATCGACGGGAAAATCAAAAATTCAATTCAATAAATCTATGTAAATTAAAGTCTGAAGAAGATCTAATTGAAAACAACAATATTGTTCGCTTCTATGTCTTGTTCTACTGAATCCTTCGTTGTTCATCGAATCTACATACCTAACACATGCAATAGGAATAACGCAATACCAATTATCGAGAGAATATTACTAGCAATAAAATTAAAGGATAAGTAATAATTGAATTATATAGGTGTGAAGTTTTAAAGTTATGCGATGCAGTTAGGTGTAGCGATAAATTGTGCTCACAAACATCACCATCATCATCATCATTTGTGAAAAAATAATAATACTGTATCACTGAGCGTTTTTATCAATTCTATAGCTGCAATAATTTTCAGTATGATTAATATGAGAATAAAGGGTGAAATAATGAAATAATTTCGATAAAGAGAAAGAAAGACTAGATTTGCCGTATAAAATGATGTCATTCTATTTCAAAGGTTCTCATCAGCTGCAAACTAGTAAGGACACTCACTATACAACAGGGCCAGGAAGTTATGTTCGCCTAACAAGTTAGAAAAAGAATAAGGCTTTGTTGAAAAATGCCTTAAGGAAAACGGGTATCCCAAAGGGATTTATCCTAAAGTATAGCAAAGAAAGAGATGTGAAAGAGAGAGGGAAAGAAGGATCCAACAGTTGAAAAGAAGAAAGTGTTCATTTGCCTTCCATACAAAGGAGAAACAGTATCGCAAACGATTGAAAAGAGAATTAAAAAGGAGCGACAAACAGATGCTTCTCTGCAGCCAAGTTAGTGACACTATACAGCACTAAATGCTCTATAAGCCGATCGAAACTGGATAAGTACCCCGCGGGTGCAACCTCCAACTGCATCTGCGACAGCAAGTACATTGGAAGGACAGAAATAAGACAGGAGTTCTATCCGGTTTTCAGAGCATATTCCAACAAAATTATGCTTAAAATCAAGCAGATATTTACATAGTGCAATTGCCAAGACACCTTATGGAAAAAGGTCATTTTGTCGAGATTTCCAAATCCTTCAAAATATTGAACATACAAAGGACAGCGAATCTACCACGATTTGCTGAAGCAATTGCAATCAAACCTCACAGACCAAACTTATGCATACAGACAAAGAGAGTGTAGTCAATCTCTCACTGCCTTTGTAACCGCATTACTTTTATTACACACTAGTGAGCTAAGCTCACTAAGCAAGTTTTCAATTTGATGAAGTTTAACCTTCTTGAGTGGCTAAGTTGACGTACAAGCAAACACAGTTTATTAGATTTTTCTGTTTTCGGTCTTCTCTCAACCCACCACCCCCTGTTTTTCATAGTTCGATAGCATATAAATTCATGGTAACTTAAACTAAAAGTTCTTCTAATGCTTATAGTCCGGATCCGCTCATCTTATAATTGAAGTATGAAATATGATTATTATTTATAACCCTTGTAATTTCAGATAGTGGTGTGCAGCTAGCTGATGAGAACCTGTGAAACAGAATGATACCACATTTGATATACTGCAAATCTGGTCTTTCTTTCTCTATCAAAATTTATCAAGGGCACCAAATGTATGAAGTAAAATAATGAAGCACCAGAGGATGATATAAGCTATCTGAATCTAGATAGATGGTTAGAAAAGCTGACATATAAAATTGTAAAGACAATAAAGTCATAGGATTTTAAATGCTGAAGGCATTCTTTAGATTTTGAGCAGTTTGATATTTATACTTACACCTTTGTTGGTTGTTTTAAACTTAATTAACAACATTTCTGTCGCTGGAGTCACACACTTCTGTGTGATCAGTTCCATAATGATCGCTCGATCAGTCAGTCAGTCAGTCAGTCAATTACTGACTCCTTTGAACATCTTTGTTGTATTACTGTAACGACAGAAGACAAGGGCCAAGCAACAGACTATTTATTGAGAAAATCAAAAGGTATTTATAGATTTTTATGTGCATTATTATTAGTGGAGAAGCAACTAGTTCTAATCGGTTGTTCTCCTGCTGAAGGTTATTCTGTCATCTCTTTGTGGCCGTTTCTTAGACAGTCTGGTCATATATCTGTGAATCATATTTCCACACTTTAACCCCGCTATGATTAGCTGGTGATTTTCTAAAGGTTAAGCTTTGTTATTGTTTTTCTCATGACCCTGATTCAAGACATGAACAATGACGTAAATTGTTGTCTATAATTTTTGGCTTGCAGCCCGTTCTCACCACACTCGTCGCCCCGTCAAATACTTCCGACTGAAGTTGGTTGGGTCTTCTTGGTGCTGGTGGTTTTGTTCGTTTGTCTTGCTGTATCAAATTCCGGAGCTCGCTGACATTACTTCGCTCTTCTTTGTTTGCATTTCTGGTCGCATAAAGATGACCCCGTCTCACAGTGACCATGTAGGGTCCCTCCCATTTTTCAAGCAGTTATCATGACCCTGGCTCGTATTCCCCGGTGTTTCGCCTCACACTATTATATGCTGCTGTCGTCCGACCTCCCAGCAGCGTTCCAAGTAACAGTCTCATCGCTGACGGATCTTAAACGCCACTCAACTGCGCAATAGCCTCGAAGTCCTCCTCGAAGATTTATATGTCTCCATCAAAAACTGCAGGGTATAGGCATTCCATTCCCATAAATAATAAAAATAATTCCACTTTTCGGCAGGCAGCGATACCAAATGTAACGACAGAAGACAAGGGCCAAGCAACAGATCATTTGTTGAGAAAATCAAGGGCTATTCATGACCCTGCTTCTAGATGCAAAGATTGATGTTAATTTTTGTCTACAATCCATGGCTTGCAGACCACTCTCACCACAAGACTATGTTTAAAAAAATGAATATGAATGTTAAGCAGTTGTAGTAGACTGACAATCCCCGAGAATTACATACCGTAGATTGTTAGATGGTTGGAGACGGTTAGCAGAGGAAGTCTTATGACTAGGTTTTGTCCTTGTTGATGCTCATCAGCAAGGCAGAGTATCTGCAATCTTCAAGAAAGTCAAGAGTGCTACTGAGATTCAACTCCAGGTCACTAAGGCTGTACCGTTACAGACATTACCACTGAGTTATTTCGGTTCTAGGATACTAGGTAGTAACTGATGTCATACCAGCGTCTGGCCCTTCTTCGTTTGGTGCTTCATTTATTCTATTTATTTAAACACAAAAAACGTGGTACAATATGGCACCAAGAAGATGCGCCACACATTTCATTTCATTGATTGTGTGAGGGCTGATATACTGCCCAGGCGTACAGACCAAAGCAGGTGGTTGTCTTAAGGGACCATTTCCTCCGTAAGGCAGAGGAGAAGTGTCAGGAGCTAAGTTACCATGGTTGTTAGTGACCAATACAGGTGTTCATATGGCATTTGATCCGATTGGATTCTAGAGCCCATGTACCCTATAGAAACTGCTTTTAATCTAACCGCTATCCAAACAACCTTCATAGGATGATAGGACCTTCAGGAACGTAAGTACTAGCCAGGTTAGCTTGTTGGGTCACTGCAGTATTCAAGCCCGACCACCAAGATAAGGTAGCAGTTATCGGCCAGGCTTCGGTTGGTGCAGACTGAATTCTATCATCAGTCAAGTTTGTAATGTAGCCGGTCACCAATTTGAATGGCTTACCATCACGATGCGCTCTGGACTGCTGTTATTAGATGAATGGAGAGAAATTGAGGCAGAAAGCCATGTTTGATCTAGGTTTCGTGATAGCAAGTCACCTAGCACATTGCGCAGCACATCATAAACTTGACTGATAAAAGAATTCAGTATGCAACAAACCAAGAACTAGACGCATGACATTAGTTATTCACCTCCCTAGTATCCAATCAAAATCACCTACCTACAGGTTTGATAGGATAACGCAAAGGTAGCCCAAAAGCAATAAGCTTGAAATCCAGTAATTTGTTGGATGTAAACGTCGCTTTGAGGCAAACTATTTTACCGTCTTCATGATTTTAGACTATGTACAGCTGGCGAAACTGACGAGGATATCAAAGAGAGGATCAGGAAAGCACGGCAAGCAAGCTTTCATTACTCTCAAGTTTGTGTGGAGGTCAGCAGCACTCAGTATGAAAACTAAGATCTGGATTTTCAACTCCAATGTGAAGTCAGTGCTACCAACTATACGGGTCAGAGACTTGGCGCCGCGCCACGTCACGAAGGCCACTTCTGACAAACTACACACCTTCATCAACAGCTGTCTTCGCTCAATGCTACTCAAGAACAGATGGCCGGCCAGAAAAGATCTCTGGCAATGAACGAACCAACCCAGCAGGAACCATTTTTGCAACTAATATGCAAGAAGAAATGGAGGTGGATTGGCCATACTCTGAGAAAACAAACCATCAAGTGAGTGTGACATCACACGCCAGGCCATCACTACAGTGGAACCAGAATAGGAAGGGGCAAGTTGGTCGTCAGTGTGAGGGTAACATGAGGGGGATTTATGTGAATAGGAGATGAAAGCATTTGAGCAGACGTGGAGCCAGGTGAAAACGATGGTAGAGAACCGGACGCAATGGAGACGTGCGACTGAAACCCTATGTTCCTCTAGGAACTAAAGGAGACAATAATAATACTGGATGCATCAAGACAACAAAGAAAATCTTCAAATTCATGGATTTCTTGCAAACTAACGATCTACTACTGCCCACTACCTGTTCCTATTATTCTTTGCATTTCCAATAGGATCCAAGCCTTGAAGTTTTAGTTGCCGTGGGACTGTACTCGTTACGAGGTGGGATTCGCTAGCCACACATCCAACCTCATCTCTATCTCTTTCTCTCTTTTAGAGGTTACTACCTATCAACGGCTGATAGCCTATGTAAGGATTGAGTGTGTCGGTCGGGAATAGATCCCTGACCGCATGAGTAGGTGGTGATCATGCAACACCATTGAGCCACTGATGTACGTATGTGTACCTGTGTTGAAACAGGTTTTTTTCTTCATCCCTTTGAGTTTCTAGCGAAACATAAGTCTCCAGAATTTCAACTTTGGAGTTTCAGTAGAAGTAGGGGTGGGTTTGTGCGTCGGTACCACAGCGGTTAGGACGCTCGCCGACCATGCACATGGTCTGGGGCTCGATCCCCGACCGACGAACTCCTTTACCTCGCTAAGCCAGTAATAAAAAAATAGAAGCTGGTAAAGAGGAATGGGTGTGTATGAGGCTAGTAACCCCATCCTGTAAAAATAAACACTGCTACAGAAACTTCAACCCTCCAGCTTGAAGCTCTATGTTCCCGCGTCACGTGTGTGTGTGTGTGTCTGGTCGACAAGCATTTTCTGTCATTCAACCATCGACGTATAAATAATAGTAATGAAACAAATACTCGCCAACAATATTCACTGGCTAGTCCCAGTCGCGCTATATCCTGCGTAAATTGACAGAAGTTGGAATTCATGAACTAGGTCACCAATGGATTGGTGGGTCCCAGTGGCTTAATGGTCTACCAGTTCGCCTTGTAACCTGAATGTCCTAGATTCGAACTGCTGAAGTGTACCAAAAGTAGAACTAGAGAACCAGCCGCCCACTACTCCTCCTCCTCCATGTGGTTGATTTTCCAATGATTTTCTAACCTATATCAGATTATAATGAAATCCTGTAACCAATCAAATCAAATCGCCTGTGCCAAAAACAACACTTAAATATTGTATAATTAACTTACTTAGGCCATTTAACAAGTTGATAGGATGTTTCCAACTTTTCTTCAACCCATTTACAAATGTCATAAAACATTTTCCAGTCAATAGACATAGCAGATGATGGTAAAGAGTATGGTTTACTGAAAGAGAATGTAAGAAAGAAAGATATTACATAATAATCATATATATATAACACAAGTATGGTATTAGAATGACTCAGTAATGATGATTGTAAAGTTAGTAACATTATTAAAAAGTGTTATAACCAAACTATTGAATCGATAACATTATAAATTTATACGTAAAAGTGTGGTTTACTGGCTTTGCCAGACATTCAACTCAAAAACTAGTTGGTCATATTGTCGTTTCGTTAACTCAACACTTTACAAGCTTCGTTTGGTGTTGCCTGAATTCTATCATCAGTCAAGTTTTCAATGTGGCCAGTCACCATTCTGGATGGCTGTAGCATTGGCTGACACGGGTTCGAATCTCATCTGTCTCTCTGTCTGGATTCAACATAGAACTTGGCATCGAAGTGCACCAGTTCGAGTTGCCACGTTCCAAATAGCACACAGAGGTAGACAAGAAGATGAGTGAAGAGAATCAATACAGTCTGACAAGTATAAGAGTGAAACAGAATGGGTAATGGTAGAAAGGAATATGAAAGATTACAGAGACTGAATACATCTGCGCTGGCCATTGACAACGATTTTGAGCCATGTCACCTATTGTCTCCAGCCATTGATTCCTAGAGTCCCGAGGGCCCCAACCCGGAAGTCTGCATCTCCCTACCTGACTCAGTTTAACTGTCAAGGATTTCATGGATTGATGAGGCCATGTTTTTGTTTGGCCACCACTTACTCTTTTCCAACCTGCACCTATATCAGCTAGTAATGCCCGTCGGGGGAGGCGATGGTTAGGCATGCGCGCACGTGACCTAGCCATCTTAGTCTATGTAACTTTATAGCCTCGTCGATTGATTTTCCCTCTTTGCCCAACACTCTACGCCTAACGTCAACATTACTTACCTTATTAAACCACCTAACGTGAGACAGAGATCGCAGACATCTATGATCGAAAGCAGTCAACCTTTTCATGTCTTCAACTCGTATTGGCCATGTTTCAGAGCCATAGAGAAGGACGGAGCGAACTGATGAGCAGTACACACGTCCCTTGGTTGATAACCGGATGTCACGCCTACGCCAGAGATGGTGTAAGTCAGCGAAAGCAGCTCGAGCTTTTCGGATCCGTGCTGAGATTTCATCGCCAATCAGTCCGTTGGTGCTAATACAACTTCCCAAATAGGTGAAGTGGTCAACATGTTCTATCACTTCACTCCCTATCACTAAGTTAGGAGTTGACGTGGTCCAGTCCTGTAGCAGCATCTTACATTTTGTAGGGGCGAATCGCATGCCAAACATACGAAGATTGCTGCTCAAGGTGTTCAGAAGACTCTGCATTTTGTCAGCATCCTCCCCTAACAGGACTATGTCATCTGCATATTCTAAGTCCATAAGACTATTCCCTGGTAACAAGTCGATTCCTAAGTCGTTACGTTCAGTTAAGGATACTTCCATCAGCATATCTATGATGAAGTTAAACAGAAATGGGGAAAGTGGACATCCCTGTCGGACACCACTGGTTGTTACCAATTCAGATGACAATTCCCCATAAGCCCTTACACGACTACGTGAGTTTGAATAGAGTGCCTTGATTAGTGCAATGTACTTTCTTGGCACTCCCTTCACAGTCAGACATTGCCATAGTACCTTTCGATCCACGGAGTCGAAGGCCGCCTTCAAGTCAAGAAATATGGCAATTGTTGGACGCCGAAAAGTGTGTCTATGTTCTAGAATCTGTCGAAGAGTGAAGATATGATCTATGCACCCTCTACCTGGTCTAAAGCCTGCTTGATTTTTCCTCGTTTGTTCCTCCCGAGTTCTGCTTAGTCTGTGCATGACTACTGAGCCTAGGATTTTAGAAAGTATGTTCGTTAGGTTGATCCCCCTATGATTATCATACGAGGACTTGGTTCCCTTCTTGAGTATCGTTATAATAAGTGAGTCGAATCTCAGAAGAGACACAAGTTCCTTCAAGGTTGCAGATACGCCAAGCTGACGAGTGCCAACTAGCACGAAACCTAGGTCCAAGGCTTCCTGTGGCCGATTTCCTGCAATCTATCTAATAACTTCGAGATTATTGAAAATTACTCAACCAGTTGGGAGGAGTGCAATAACTATAATTCCTTGTTAACTTTGTACATATATATTCAAAGAACTACTCCTAAATTACGTGCGCCGGTAGCACAGTGGTAGAATGCTCGCCGACCATCCCTCATGTCGGTCCGGGGCTTGGATCCCGGCCATCAACGTACCGCCCTACCTCGCTAAGCAAGTAATAAGACTGCTAAAGAGGGAAAGTTGTGCCAGCTGAGGCTAGCAACCCCATCCTATAAAAAATAAACACTACCGCTACAGAAACTTCAAGCTTGTAGCTTGAAGATGCCCTATGTTCCACTGGGAACGTAAAGGAAGTGAAAACTCCGAAATCATAGTAGGTAAAGGATGAGAAGGAACAAGAAGTAGAAGAAGAAATATAATCAAAGACTACTGAAATTCTGAAGAAAAATAACTACCCAAAAAACATCATTAACAAAATCAACACCGACTTGAAATGTGGTCGAAAACGTATTCCAAAGATATAGGTCTCAACAGTTTTCATTCTATACAGATCATCAGATAAGTAAAACGATCGATATCAGAAGAGTACTCAATAAGCACAACATCCAAATTTTCTCTAAAATATCACAAAAACTATAAGGCAAACTTGTTCGTACAAAAGACCAAATTCCAAGGGATTCTCAATCTAATTATGTCTATAAAGATGAAATGCCTCCTTGAAATGTGATGCGATATACATCGGACAAACGTCGCCGGGGAGAAATAAAAGGTAATCAGAGGAAATGAACACCGGAGAACATCCGTTCGACCACCGACAAATCCAGGTGGACTAGAAAGGCTTGAAAAATCATCAACCATAGGTTGTCTACACGCTATTTGAAACAGGCCACAAAATTGATTTTGACAATATTGAAATATTTTTCAGGGATTGGTTTGTAAGGATTACATTTGTCTCTACGAGTTTGCCCACGGATCGATATCAGTTAGAGAGCCATTGAAAACCAGCCAGGAAGTACTGGACAGCTGTTTCATCCTATTTTGAGAATCATCGGCAGTACGCATCCACCACAAAGGGTTCGGTCCGGTTACAAGCAAGCAAGCTCGTATACCATTCAGCCACTGATACCCGATTCAATGGCCAGTCCATGAATTCTAACCTCTAACATTCGTGATTTAGAGTGACTGGTACCAACCAATGTCATAGGTGGGAAATCCATCCTCCATTCATCTCTAGATACCAAAACCAACAAGTTGGCAGAACAAATAGCGAAGATGGTGAAATGGAGATGAGCCCCTGCTGAAGCCCTATATTCCACTCGGGACACAATAATAAATCAGTTACAGGATTTCATCATGACTTGATATTGGTTAGAGAACCATTGGAATACCTGAGAGTACTGGACAGCTGTTTCTCCAGTCCTAGTTTTCGGACTCTTCGGCAGTATGCAGCAGGTCGAGTGTGAGGACAAATACTCGCCAGCGATGACATTGGCTGGTGCCAGTCGAGCTATGTCGTGAATTGGTAGAAGTTAGAATTCATGGACTGGCCATTGGATCGAGTCTCAGTGGCTTAATGGTCTACGAGCTCACCTTGTAACCAGAAGGTCCTGGGTTCGAACTCCGATGGGGTGGGTCCCAAACTAGGCGGACGAAACAGCTTTCCAGCACTCCCCCATGCGGCCGGTTCACCAATTGTTCTCTAACTGGCGTCAGCTCATGATGAAATCCCCTAACCAATCAAACAGTTAGTTAGTTAGTTAGTTACTTAGTTAGTTAGTTATAAACGGATTTTTAATTATTATCTGCGCACGGGAAGGAAAATAAGACACACATTCCAACGATTAGCATGTGATGATAAAACCTATCGACTTTGCTTTATAAGTGAATATATATACATATATATAGAAAAAATTTATTTATAGTAAGTCTCAATAGTTTGTAAGCAAAATCCTACACACACACACACAAACAGCTAGTACACACAAATATATAGACATACCTCATCAGTTTCTTTAATAGCTCCATTGCATTGTTACTAACTTGCGTGTCAATATTTGGACAGCATATATACGCTACAACTAAACGAATTAACGCCACTCGATGTGCTTTAGATAGACGCATTCCAAACACGTCGATAAATCTAGAGAAAAGCAAAGAAGGGAAATCAATTTGAATTATATATTCGAATAAGAAGTCTGCTTGTTGGACATGTGTGTGTGTGGGGGGGGGGGGGTTGTTGTCACTTTCCGGCTGCCCACACCATGGAAATTGATTTTTTTTCTCCTTGAGGTACCTGTGAAATAGGAAGAGAATTATTTGTACTGCATGACAGCAAATCCTATGGGACAGCTGTTTAAGGTCGGTCGATTGATCGATCGATCGATGAAGGCCGCAACTGCTTTCCTTTTAACCGTTATATAGTGTAGTAAATTGCCAGTGCAACCAGTACCTAGAATTTAGGGAATTCCTAGAAGCCTGGTGCTCAGACGAATACGCAATTAACAATCAATGTTAATATAGACGAAATATACCAACTAATAAAAAGTAAATCAGGTGACCAGAAAGTTTAAAATCCAAGTCAATAGAAAATGGTCAATACATATGTAAAGATGGTTACCGGGAGACGCAATTATGTCACTCATGAAGAAAAAATTTAAATCATTTCACTTAAATATTGCGTTGAAGATGTTGTCTAGAAGGACGACGAAAGCTCCGCAACTAAATCAACCAGCTCAGAGAACACTATTTAATTGCAAACCTTACAATAGTAGTCGGATAAAGATTACCAACGAAGGTTAAGCAGTAACACTTTCTGTATAAATTGAATAGGCAGATGAGTATAACAAAAATATTCATTCAGACATCTATAAAACACAAAACAATTGAGCCAGCAAAGAATATCCTCCTTTAGATAATTACCTCCTTTTCTGGCTCTACAATTACATATGCATGTTTATATCCATAGAATATTCTAGAATAGTAGTCAATAACAATATTGGTGTTTTTTAAATAATATCGATTTGTAATGTATCGGTGGTTATCACTTTCCGGCTGCCCACACTATGGAAATCGACTTTTATTTTATATCCTCACGCAAGAGAAAAACTCCAGCAATGATGAGAGGAACATCCCCCGCAGCAACACCACAACTAGTGTTCTCTAGTCGCCCATTGATCTGCAAAAATCATAAGGATCAGATCTCGCATCTGGCAACTTCTATGTGCATACATCAGTTCATTTGTTGCTATGAAGCCAGCCACACACATTCGTCGTTTAACACGTATCCTCTCTTAAAGGGTTCAAGAACACTATCCCGCAGGGCTACAAAAACGTAATAGTGGCTGTATAACGAGTGCACTAATCGAATTTCTCGTCAACACATTGGTCATTCCATCTCAACAAATATCGCCTCCTTCAAAGTGATCTACAAAGTGAAGAACAACCTACAAAAAAAGGCAGTACGTCGTCGTCTCCTTTGTATTGTTTGAAGCCTTAGTCACTCAGTTTGAAAAATCAGAGTTATGCACATATGAGAAAATCAGTCAACCACTTCTACTCACTTGATGTTTGTGTGCATGTTTTTGTTTTCCTCTAACTCTCTATAACATTCACAATTTTTAGAACGCTTACATAACTCCATACTTTCCTTTCGTTTCTATACACATGTCCTCAACACAACTCACTCATTAAACTAACTATTCATCTTATTACGTAACTCTATTATTACGCTTATTCAACCTCTTTGATGTGTTAATAATGTTTGTCTTTTATGACAATACCTCACCACTACCCTCTGACTAATCTTCACCGCCAACACCGCCCTAGTTACAATTTCATTACTCATCACACTTTTTAAAATGTCTTGATAACAATAACCCTAAGTTATTTACATTCTCATCGGACAAACATAATGTCCACACACACACAGACAAAAATAAGTATATACTTGAGAATGTGCAGCCAAGTGAATCAATTGTTCACCAAACGAAAAAAGAATCCTAGCTGAACTTTGTGTTTTTCAGACATACTTATTACTACACACACACACACACACACACACTTTGATTTGCTTTTTACGCAATGACAATAACCTTTGACCTAAATATAAGTGTACAGCTTTGAAGTGAAGTAAGGCAAAGAGAGAATCTCTCTGCCGACTCATCTAGTCTTAGTTACATGAAATGCGAACTTTTTTTTATACTAAGCAAAGATTCATTTCAAGTTTAACCACAGAGATGGTTTCCAAACCAGTTGAGAGTACTGGACAGGTATCTAGTCAGTCTAGTTTGCGACTGACAGTAACACCTTTTTTTCTTCCTTTTTGTCGGTAGTACAAGCAGTCTTATGATATTAGTGTTAATGTGGTCGAATGAGATTAGCAGCGGGAAACCCTTGACCCAGGTTTCGTATCTGCAGGCACTCTCATTAGCCACTGTGTATCTGTTTGGAGACTTCAGCTGTGATACAGTCAAAGACGTCACCGCTGGCGTATTCATCATGAAGCAGTTCAGTAGTAATTTACCTTTGTTTTTCTTTCTTTTTTACATGACCTTCCATACTCTTCCAAAGGTAACTGCATTAAATATACCCACAATCTAACAGTTTCCGTCCCAGTAGTTCTCACATTCCATTCTTCTTATACATAAATAGATTCTTATCTGAAGTTAACAACAAGTGGTCTTACCTCAACTAGTCTTAAACTGAATCTATCGAAATGTCATATTGTTGATTTGAGTTTCAGATGCGAAAAACACTTCCGTGGACTGATTCAGTCCTCCCAGGACTCCTGTGATATTGACAGCACTGTGTAATAGGAAGTAAATAGAATATCTCTTATCTCGCCATCAGTTTCTCTTCGAATCTCTATTGGTAGTCTCATTTCATGTTGATTTCTAGAACTTTTTCCATTTGACTTTGTACATGAAGAAGTTGAGACTTCCTGGCGTAACTCAACCTCACCTCTTCTCCTACACTTTATCAGTTCAAGTATTCTGTCCATCCACCTTCTTTATTGTTCACCCCACTTATTCTTCCCTGGACTTCCCAAAAAACACTATATCATATTACATAGGACACTAAAGATTCTAAGTAGGGTTAGTGGTGTGCCTTTCACACTTAGCTAACTCGCATTCTTGTTCTCGTGCATAGGCACTTCAATTCTTCTAAGCAGTTGGCTAAAGTTATCTTGTCTGAGATAACGAACATCCTATCTACTTATTCGCAACTTTTGCCCTGTATCTATCTCTCTCCGGGGGTAAAACCAGAAGACACTTAATAAAAAGCATTTATGCTCGTACAGCTATTCAATATAAAAATTCTACCATACCACCCACCATATTTAGCACAGATTTTGTGTGAAGAGAGAGAGAGGCAGGGTCAGATGTCAGAAGAGAACTTATAAACTTTTTAAATCAGCAGTAACTGAACTGTGAAGTATGAGCAAAGATTAGTAATTATTATTGTTCTTACATGTATTATCTATGATACCATCTACTTATACACTCATTATGTTTCCACCAATATTCTGTTTAGAGTGATGGTTTCATTATTTATATTATTATTATTATTATTACTGTTTTTATATATGGATATATTTATAAAAGGGTGCGTCGGTGGCATAGTGGTTAGGACGCTCGCCGACCATGCACATGGTCCGGGGTTCGATCCCTGGCCACAGACGCACTCCTTTACCTATCTAAGCCAGAAATAATTGTGATAAAGAGGAAAGGTTAGGCCAATTGAGGCTAGCAACCCCATCCTGTAAAAATAAACACTGCTACAGAAACTTCAAGCCAATAGCTTGAAGGTGGGCTATGTTCCACTGGGGAACGTGAAGGAAAAAAATTCTTAAAAGGAGGTAAATTGTTGGAATATGTGTGAAAATGTTGAAAATTCAATAAAGTGATAAGTATTATTATTATTATTATTATTATGAACATAGTGGTCCTTTCAACTCAAATATATTTCTACCTATCGCACAATAGTAGACGACACCTCACGTGGTCCGGGATCTGATCCCCGGCCGATATACTGCTAAAACCTCGCTAAACCGGTAGGTAGTAAAGTCAGTAATGAGGGAATAATAATAATGATAACAGTGAGTCTGTTTCAAACAGTATTGTCGATTTAGTTGGCTATAGAGTATTGAATCTAATGTTCTGTTGATATAGCAGCATGGTGAGGGGAAATACAAAATTAGCAGTTAAAACACAGCTTAAAATATGTTCACACTTACGAAAAACAGATAAACAAATAAAGACAAAAAATTGAGAGGATTATAAATATAAGAAATACAATAACAATAAAGTTTGATGTTGTAAGGGTGGAGGAAATGGTTTATTTAGTAGTGTAAGGAAGGTTAGTTAGTTAGTTAGTTCATGCCTGACACTATTTTCATCACATAAAGTACGTGACACCAAATATGGTATCGTGGAATTTTTATACTTAGACGTACGTGCATAAGGTCTCTCTTCTGAAAAGACTTTTTGTTCTACCTGAGGAGACACAAGGCTGGAGCTGCAGGTAAAGTGGGGGATGCTCACAGTCTGACAAAATTCCTTCGGCAAATTTGTTGCATGACATCAAGTGCCTGTCAGTGACAATGTCAACGATATGGCCCAATGGGATACCAACCACTCGCCCTACTGACTGACAGTCCAGAGTTCTACGACATAGTATGACAAAGGGTGAACAGTCAAGAAGAATAGGTGACAAACTGTAACAGGAAGAGGTTTTGGTTATACCTGAGTGCCTTAACCACTTCTTAATGTAAAATATTCTTTTAGAAATCCCTAAGACATGGGAAGACTAGGATAGGTACGTCAGTAGAAAGAATTAATCCAAGATATACTTAACTTCAGAAGACTTGGTTTCTATATCCTCACTATCATCAATTTTGCAACGGTTGGGCATCAGGTTAGCAACCCTACCCCCATAAAAATGGAGCCACTGTTACCAGAACTTCAGAGCTGAAGCTTAAAGTCCTATGCTCCACTCGGAGCGTAAAGGAATAAAATAAATAATAATAATAATAAATAATAATAATAATTCGCTAACCTTTGAATTGAACTGAATACTGGACTAACTTCACACAGGACATCACCAGACGATAGGACATCACACAGCCATTGTGAAATCGCCTCCCACTCACCACGTATCACTTTATTCAAATTATTCGGATGAATAGGCAGTAAACGATCACTACGTTTAGACATAATTGATGCGGGAGCGGGAGCGGAAGCAGATGCCGATGCAGGCAACGATGACAATGACGACGACGATGCTGATGCCAACGTTAAGGATTGATGTGATGATTTCATTGTTCCACCAGATTTGAGCATGGCTTATGGTATATATTCTTTAGCTTATATATACAAATACATATATGTATAGACAGATGGATAGATAGAGTCTGTATTTTGCTGTTAGTAAAATATAAAAACAAGAAAACGGAATAGTTGAGGGGGGCGGTTAAAATGAAGGAAATCTCAGACAAAAAATGTTTAATAAACATTCCCACCTACCCTCCCCCTTTCTCCCTTTCCGCCCCGCCCTTATGAAATAAAATAATAACTCACTGGTGACTTCAACAGGCTTAACACACACACACACACTTATGTGAGTAGAACTCAGTAATCTGGCTGAAATTTATGGAATAATTTGTGTGTGAGAAAGACACACATGAAATTCAGAAAAACCGAAATTAATTAGGCTAAAATAACAACAAGGTTGGATATTCAATCACTCCTGGTAGCGCTGAAACATTTTAACAAACAACAGCGATCAATAACAATAACAGTGTAGTAATATTTGTTTTTACGAGTTTGACCATTGAAAACCAGCCAGCATGGAGTACTGGACAGCTGTTTCACCAGCCTAGCTTGGGAATTACTTCTAGGTTTCGAAACAAGACCAACAAGCCACTGGGACCCAACTCAATGACAGCCAGCCTATGAATTCTAACTTCTACCAATTTGTGATTTAGCGTGACTGGCACCAACCAATGTCATTGGTAGGAAATCAATCCTCACATTTGACATTTGGATGGACGTCACTGGTCACAACTTCTCACTAGAACTCACTCCAGAAAACACCAGCCTGTAGCAAGTCACTAACGAGCACCAGTAGGAATAATGACTCGACGGTTCTAAGGGTGAAAGACGAGATTTCACATGAAGCTTTTGACTTTTATGTAAACAATCGGATATTATACTGGCCATCCGAGAGACAAGAATAATCCATATAGCAGTAATCCCTTCCATTCATTGTAAACTGTAATAATACTTAGATCAGTTATTAATCTTTCTATCAATACACTTAAAAATCACGATTAATAGTCACACATAGGCTGTCTGAAAATACAGTTCTTTCAATAATATGCATTCCGAATGAAACACACAGAGCTTCAGGCTTGAAAACTCACAATGAACCTTTTCTCTAGTTCTCTCTTTCGAGTTTAATATCAACCAGGAAAATAGGCGAGGTTTAGGATAGTGTTAGCCAACAATCAAAACAGAGATTAAGCACTCCACAACTGAACCCCCTGACATACCACTCATGTATACTACTTTAGAGCTATGAAGTAACGACTACTGTAAGCAAGCATGAACAAGAAGGCATAGAATTATGAATTGACAACTAAGTAAATTCAATAAATTCATTTGCAAAACCCTTTTTAATAAATAGTAACGATTAGATGCGCATTGGATAATACAATCACTGAACGCGAGTTTATGAAAACCTTTCGGAATATACTTTACTGTAAAAGTTAGGGTTTACAGATAACTTTATTTGATTTTAAGAATGTGTTGCAGAGAAATGATTTGCACATTTTTGTAGCATCTTGGATAGAATTGTAAACGTCCAGTGGTACACTGAAGACTCATATCCTAATTGTAGAGACTTAAGCACTCGGCTTTAAGCTCTAGTGGGTGTCCTGCATAACCTACCTCATCTTAGGTAACGATTTTCAGATATATTATCAGTTTCAAATCATTAATTCATGGTGGGTCCTGTAGTTCAATGGCAGAATGTTCGCCTGTCATGCAGGAGGTCCTTATTCAACTCCCGACTGATGGGCTCCTAAACTTTACCACCTAGTTCACTAGCCGGTAGTAAGAAGTCTACAACCTTGAAAGGTTGACTGTAAGTCTAACAACCATACCCCTTCCCCCATAAGGAGAAAGAGCACCATCGCCACTGAAACTTCCAGAACCTTGAAGCCACCCCCACCCTTCCACTTGGGATGTAAAGGAAAGGAGAATAGTAGAGGAACCCCCATCTACTCACTCGCCTCTAGAAACAGTAATAAGACAACACACACATCAAGACGTAATTCAGACCGTCGTATGAGTTACAGATGCTATATTATGTATTTCATAAAGGATATCATGGTGGGAACAATGTATAAAACTACGGCTCATTGGTGTTTAGGCGCTCAACTTCCAACCAATCGGTCACCGGTTAGGACGTCACTCCACTTAACGAGGTTTAGGCAGCCAAGTAGTAGTATCACTAGTCCTCACACACAATAGATAAGTATAGCTCATCGACCAATGCATGGAATTATACAAGCGGTCATTGAGGAAAAATCTCTTTTCCTATCACACTTGTATTTATGCGTTGTAGTGTGATTTACTTTGTTTCGTTTAAGCTAGTGGTCGCACCAGATGATGAATTGGCAGAAGGTGGAATTCATGGGCTGGCCACTGAATAAGGTTCCAGTGGCTTAATGGTCTATGAGCTCGCTGACCTTGTAACCAGAAGGTCCTGGGTTCGAACCCCACCCAGTGGGGTAGGTGCGTACTGTGAAGAGTTCCAAACAGGGACGAAACAGCTGTTCAGTACTCCCTGATGGTTTTCCGATGGCCCCCTAACCGATATCAGTTCATGATGAAATCCTGAAATTAGTCAAATCTCTGCAAACCAACACTTGAACAAATAATCAATCAATAAAAGAGGTTTAAAACAACATATGCCAAGTTGGTTAACGAGTAATACTGACGTCCGGTGTTTAGAGCACTTCTCAAAGTGTGTAAATTGCAAATTTCATTAATGGAATCACCAATTCGCCGGGGTTATTATTTTTATTTATTTAAATCCTGGGTAGGTTTGTTAGCCTCACGCCTAATATTTCCTTTTTCCTGGGCTTACTATCACCTAAGCGAGGGTTAAGGAGTGCATGTCAGATGGGCGTCAAACCCTTGGACGAGTATTCCACCATCGACACCTAAGAAGATAGCTAGATATCAGGTGGTTTGAACGAACTGATTCGCCATTCAAGTATTGGTTTGTAGGGATTTTGATTGATTTTTTACAGGATTTCATCGTGGCTGACATCGGTTAGCGAACCATTGGAAAACCAGCCAGGGAGTATTGGACAGCTATTTCTGTAGTCTTATTTGGTGTTCAAACTCAGGACCTTCTGGTTACAAGGCTAGCGAGCTCGTAGACCATTAAGCCACTGGGATCCAATCCAATGGCCCATGAATTCCAACTTCTGCCAATTCACAACATAGAGCGACCACCACAAATACTCTCTGAAGACATTGTCTGGTTGTCACTCTATGTCGTGAATTGGCAGAAGTTGGAATTCATGGGCTGGCCATTCGATCAGGTCCCCGTGGCTTAGTGGTTTACAAGCTCGCCTTGTAACCAGAAGGTCCTGGGTTCAAACCCTGAAGGTGGGTGCGTACTGGCGAAGAGTTCTAAACTAGGACCAGAGAAACAACTGTCCAGTACTCCCTGACTGATTTCCCAATGATTCTCTAACTGATGTCAGCTCATGATGAAATCTTGTAATACAACTTTCTTAGCTGAGTCAGTGGGTTGGGGGTGGGAGAGCACACCGATAATGAGCTCAGCTGTAGACGATAGAAACGACCGTCCGGTGGTATTTAGACCACTCCGATGTAGATGGTGGCTAGTCTGGCTAGCTGGCCGGTTAGTAAACACTACTGATTAGTACGAGTCCTATACAACTACACATTTCATCAATCAGTAGTGGATATTTTTGTGCAACATCGATGCAAGGTTGATTAACGAACAATACTATCAAAAACAGGCACATAAAAAGGGTGGGTGGGACGGCGGGGGCGGCGAGGGAGACAAAAACACTGGAAAAAAACACAAACAAACCAAATAATCTATAAGTGAACTTTATATGCACATCGATGGACACAGAGAGAAGAAAAAAGGGAACACATAGTGCAAAATAAACTGACATGTATTTTTCTATCTTTAAATATGCGCATATACAAATAAATCGTAAATACAATAGACATTCGCAAAACAAAAAGACAAATAAAACAGAAGAGAAAAACAAAAGCAGACGACACATAATCTACTGACGAAAGAAAGAATCTTCTCTATTCTCTTTTTACATCAGTTGGATTCGCTTTAAGCGATGTGAGTTGACTGTCGACAACTGAGACAGCGATTAACAATTGTCCAGCATAATAAGTTGGCAGGATCAATGTAGACATAAATGATTTCTCTTGGGCAAATACACTTACAGCTAATAAACTATCGGATAGACCAAATAATAAACTGCCTAGTGCACAAGATATCGATGTCCACGGTATAGAATATTCATGTTTGTATAGTTGAGCTACACCGCGCCATACCATTAAAACTAACAATACGCCATAAGCAGGGCAAACTAATCCAGTAAGAAGATTAAAACCTTCTCTCACATAAATACAAATAAATATAAGCCATGGAAGTATGCTGAATAATACGAGTAACTTGAATGGTCGAATACCAAAGGCATGAATATATAAGATATGCGTAATAGCAAAGAAACCCATCCCAGGGATAAAATATTTAGGCCATACTAAACATGCATCACCTATACAAGAAAATAACAGGCCAAGTAAAATTTTCATAGAATAATCTTGTTTCGAAAGAGAGGATTTTACACCATACATATAGACAAAAGCCATAAGTGATAAAATTGGTGCACATTTGAATAGACAATAACCAATCGTTGATTCATGCTTGGGATAGAGAACGTAGAATAAGGCGAATGTTTTGAAAAATATAACTAGACGTGGTCCCAAACATTTCACCTATAAAAGAAACACAGAAAGCATAATATAGCTACTTACAAAGACATGATATACATATATATACGGATTAAAGTTGAACAGATTAAGCAGCATACTTGCAAAATAATGACAATAATAATCAAGTTAATAATAACCCTAATCTACCATTATGTATAGTCTTATAGATACACTGACTGGCTGACTGGTTTCAACATAGACCTCTGCACGGATATGGTACAGTTCGAGTTGCTACACTCCACTCCATACACCACACAAAGCAAGAGAAGAAAGCAAAGGGAGATAATAGACAAAAGTGTGAATGTGGGAAAAAGAATAGCAATATGGAGGGAGAATAGAAATTTTTTATTGGATATTGTAAATTACAAAGAGTGAATGCATCTGCGCTAGCCATTGACCACGATTTGAGCCATATCACCAATTGTCTTCAGCCTTCATTGATTCTTAGCATCCCAAGGACCCCCACCAGTCAGTCAGGCAGTCTACACCTCCATACTTGGCTGACTGACTGAACTAACTGTTATGGATTTGATTAATTGATGAAGCCGTGTTTTGGACTGACTACCACTAGTTCTTTTCCAGCCTACTGCTATGTCAGTCAGATAGGACTGCCGGTCGAGGAAGGTGATGGATAGGAATGCGTGCGTAACACAAGTCCTTACCATCTCAATCGACGTAGCTGCTTCACAACCTCATCGACTGATTTCCCCTCCCACCTACCCAGTACTCGACGTCTAACCTCAATATTGCTCACCCTATTTTACCATCCCAACGATAAAATGGAGGCATAGGCTGCCGTCACTCCATACTCAAAACCGAATGATCAGAAAGGATCCGCAACAAGAAACTCCACGAACGAACAAACCAATCAAGAGACTATTGCCAATAAATATGCAGAAGGGGATAGAAATAGAGTGGACATTGAGTGATATCACGCGCCACAGAAGCCCTACAGTGGAACCTGAACATGGAAGCGAGCTCCGAGGTGAGCGTGAGTCCGAAGGTGACATGGAGTAGATCATATGAAGACACGAAAGCTTATGGTCAAAATCGTGCAGCCAGCTACAAGGGACTGCAGAGATGAGGATGAAATGGGGATGTGCTTCTGAAGCTCTATGTCCCCACTCCGAACCCAAGGGAATAATAATAGTAAGTTCCTACAACAAAAAGTCACTACAGTCTTGGATTAGCTGTGGTGGTTACAATATCTTACACAAAATGGATTTCTGGTTAACTAAGCATCTAAGAGGATTCACTCAAGCAATAAGCGTAACGCAAGTACATTCACGGAATGATTTGACAGGATAGAATAAAAATGGAAAAGTGAGTAGTTCAGTGAAGCTTTTCTTGGATGTAAAAACTAAACACTCGGTTGACTAGTCAATGAAATGGGTAGATTTGTACAAAATTTGCTCATTTTAAGATATCAACCTCCTCCGAAGTCAATCAGATGTAGTTCAAAAATAATAATTTTACTACTAAAAACAAAATCTCTGTCAGGAGTACCGATGTGTCCCTAAGTGAATTTAGCCGAACTATACGAGTTTCTGACCACAAAATGTTGGTTTGAGCCGTATAGGAACTGTGTAGACTGCATGATTGGGATCATTGGGATGCTAAGTATCAACAGTTTGGAATTTTCGGTGAGATAGCTCAGAATCTTTTGCAATAATGCAGGTGTATTCATTTCTTGTTACCATTTAGATCCTGAAAATCCTCACCCTCCCTTAGATCGTCTGTCATTTCACTATATTTCTCTACTATTAAATGTCCTTCTCTGAAGAGTTGTGACTTAAACTGATTCACCATCGTGCAAAATTATATTTCAGTATGTTAATCAATTAGTTAAAAATTGCGTAATATATGAATTAAAATCATGGTTGATGTGTAGGTGCTTCATTGATAGAATGGTCCAAGTTCAACTATCGACCGATGCCTAGTGTATTAATCACTAGTTAGCCCGGAAAAGAAGGTAGGTTGGATGTGAGACTAGCAACTCTATCCTTTAACAGGCAACACTACAGCTAATGAAACTTGATAAGCTTGAAACCCTGTACTTTACTTAGAAAGCAAGGGATAGAAAAACAAATACAGGTTGAGGGTATTGTTATCATTGCTTCTTATAAGTCAATGTATATATAAGAAGCAATAACCCATCTTCAAATAGGGACAGCACTCTGAATGCATACATAGACTAGGATATGAAAACGCTGACGATTACCTGGATTATATTATCTATGACTATGTTGCAATTAAATACTGAATACACGCCAAGTCTAAAACAAGTGAACGAAAAACACAACAAGTTGCACTTATAAAGACTTTCCTAGAACCTGGAGCAAATTAGTTTACAGTATGAAGCTATACAACCGAAGTGGACTATAATACCGTTACATCAGACAGGAAAAGAAAGTAAAGACCAGAGAATAGATTAACATACACCTTCGGATAGAGAAAAAATACTTTTCGTTCTTCATACTTTGAAACAATTAAAAAAAAACCAAAAGATAGGACGGTGGCTGTGTGTCGGTGGCACAGTGGTTAGGACTCTCGCCCATCATGCACATCGTCCGAGGTTCGATCCCCTGCCAACGCACACCTGATATCTATGGTCGGCCTGCAAAATTTGGGCTACCGATATCCATGCTAAAAATTCAATACTTATACCAAAAATACAGTGTGGAATCAAGCTGTAAACAAAAATTTTAAAAAAAATTAAATTAAAACTTCATAAGAATACTCTAGGATTGGATGGTGAAGGTATAAGCCTGTGTCATTGTAAATAATGCCAAACCATAACACTGACAGTCATAAAGCACTGATTATTATGATCCTGTGGAACCTACTCACTCCACAAGAAGCGATACCTTACCTTACTTAATATGCTAAATCTTAAATGTATTATACCCTGACTTTACTACAGGCAGCATGACATCGCTTTACTTTACTTTCTTATAGAACACCATGTTTTCCCTCAGTATTACATGAGGTTTTTCTATATATGAACAAGGCTTCAGTCATCTATAACTACAATTCTCTAATCTAATCGTGCTGTGTATTACAGTAAAAGACATTCATGGAGCTTACCTCTCTTTTCATAAATCGATAGATGAAAACAAAACACGTAGTTCAGGTGAATTCATTTTCATAACTGTACAATCGCAAATATATATATGGTTGTTTTGTATGTATGTGTACATCAGGTTTGTCAAACAAAAATACAATTGGTTATGATTATTTTAACCAATCAGGTGAAGAGTGGTTCTTCGAGTTACGTAATACAAGATCTGTCAAGAAAATTAGGTGTTAATGAAATTAACCAAAATTATGTACATAAGAGAAAATCAGTCAACCACTTCTACTCACTTGATGTTTGTGTGCATGTTTTCGCTTTCTTCTAACTCTCTATAACATTCACAATTCACAACTTGTCCTAAACACAACTCACTCATTAAACTAACTAGTCATCTTATTACGTTAATAATGTTTGTCTTTTTTGACAATACCTCACCACTACCCTCTGACTAATCTTCACCGCCAACACCGCCCTAGTTACAATTTGATTACTCATCACATTTTTAAAATGTCTTGATAACAATAACCCTAAGTTATTTACATTCTCATCGGACAAACCTAATGTCCACACACACACACACAGACAAAAATAAGTATATAGTTGAGAATGTGCAGCCAAGTGAATCAATTGTTCACCAAACGAAAAAAGAATCCTAGCTGAACTTTGTGTTTTTCAGACATACTTATTACTCACACACACACACACACTCTTTGATTTGCTTTTTACGCAATGACAATAACCTTTGACCTGAATATAAGTGTACAGCTTTGAAGTGAAGTAAGGCAAAGAGAGAATCTCTCTGCCGACTCATCTAGTCTTAGTTACATGAAATGCGAATTTTTTTTATACTAAGCAAAGATTCATTTCAAGTTTAACCACAGAGATGGTTTCCAAACCAGTTGAGAGTACTGGACAGGTATCTAGTCAGTCTAGTTTGCGACTGACAGTAACACCTTTTTTTCTTCCTTTTTGTCGGTAGTACAAGCAGTCTTATGATATTAGTGTTAATGTGGTTGAATGAGATTAGCAGCGGGAAACCCTTGACCCAGGTTTCGTATCTGCAGGCACTCTCATTAGCCACTGTGTATCTGTTTGGAGACTTCAGCTGTGATACAGTCAAAGACGTCACCGCTGGCGTATTCATCATGAAGCAGTTCAGTAGTAATTTACCTTTGTTTTTCTTTCCTTTTTACATGACCTTCCATACTCTTCCAAAGGTAACTGCATTAAATATACCCACAATCTAACAGTTTCCGTCCCAGTAGTTCTCACATTCCATTCTTCTTATACATAAATAGATTCTTATCTGAAGTTAACAACAAGTGGTCTTACCTCAACTAGTCTTAAACTGAATCTATCGAAATGTCATATTGTTGATTTGAGTTTCAGATGCAAAAAACACCTGCGCGGACTGATTCAGTCCTCCCAGGACTCCTGTGATATTGACGGCACTGTGTAATAGGAAGTAAATAGAATATCTCTTATCTCGCCATCAGTTTCTCTTCGAATCTCTATTGGTAGTCTCATTTCATGTTGATTTCTAGAATTTTTTCCATTTGACTTTGTACATGAAGAAGTTGAGACTTCCTGGCGTAACTCAACCTCACCTCTTCTCCTACACTTTATCAGTTCAAGTATTCTGTCCATCCACCTTCTTTATTGTTCACCCCACTTATTCTTCCCTGGACTTCCCAAAAAACACTATATCATATTACATAGGACACTAAAGATTCTAAGTAGGGTTAGTGGTGTGCCTTTCACACTTAGCTAACTCGCATTCTTGTTCTCGTGCATAGGCACTTCAATTCTTCTAAGCAGTTGGCTAAAGTTATCTTGTCTGAGATAACGAACATCCTATCTACTTATTCGCAACTTTTGCCCTGTATCTATCTCTCTCCGGGGGTAAAACCAGAAGAAACCTAATAAAAAGCATTTATGCTCGTACAGCTATTCAATATAAAAATTCTACCATACCACCCACCATATTTAGCACAGATTTTGTGTGAACAGAGAGAGAGAGACAGAGAGAGGGTCAGATGTCAGAAGAGAACTTATAAACTTTTTAAATCAGCAGTAACTGAACTGAGAAGTATGAGCAAAGATTAGTAATTATTATTGTTGTTCTTACATGTATTATCTATCATACCATCTACTTATACACTCATTATGTTTCCACCAATATTCTGTTTAGAGTGATGGTTTCATTATTTATATTATTATTATTATTATTACTGTTTTTATATATGGATATATTTATAAAAGGGTGCGTCGGTGGCATAGTGGTTAGGACGCTCGCCGACCATGCACATGGTCCGGGGTTCGATCCCTGGCCACAGACGCACTCCTTTACCTATCTAAGCCAGAAATAATTGTGATAAAGAGGAAAGGTTGGGTATGAGGCTAGCAACCCCATCCTGTAAAAATAAACACCACTGCTACAGAAACTTCAAGCCAATAGCTTGAAGGTGGGCTATGTTCCACTGGGGAACGTGAAGGAAAAAAATTTGTAAAAGGAGGTAAATTGTTGGAATATGTGTGAAAATGTTGAAAATTCAATAAAGTGATAAGTATTATGATTATAGTGGTCCATTCAACTCAAATATATTTCTACCTATCGCACAATAGTAGACGACACCTCACGTGGTCCGGGATCTGATCCCCGGCCGACATACTGCTAAAACCTCGCTAAGCCGGTAGGTAGCAAGGTCAGTAATGAGGGAATAATAATAATAATGATAACAGTGAGTTTGTTTCAAACAGTATTGTCGATTTAGTTGGCTATAGAGTATTGAATCTAATGTTCTGCTGATATAGCAGCATGGTGAGGGGAAATACAAAACTAGAAGTTATAACACAGCTTAAAATATGTTCACACTTACGAAAAACAGATAAACAAATAAAAACAAAAAATTGAGAGGATTATAAATATAAGAAATACAATAACAATAAATATGGTATCGTGGAATTTTTATACTTAGACGTACGTGCAAAAAGTCTTCTGAAAAGACTTTTTGTTCTACCTGAGGAGACACAAGGCTGGAGCTGCAGGTAAAGTGGGGGATGCTCACAGTCTGACAAAATTCCTTTGGCAAATTTGTTGCATGACATCAAGTGCCTGTCAGTGACAATGTCAACGATATGGCCCAATAGGATAGCCGCCACTCATCCTACTGACAGTCCAGAGTTCTACGAAGTATGGCATAATCTCTTTTAAGAAACCCAGGAAAGAATAAGGCTGAACAGTCAAGAAGAATAGGTAAGATGCACGAGTTGATTAACTGTAACAGGAGGAGGGGTTGAGTTATGCCTAAGTGCCTTAACCACTTCTTAATGTAAAATGTCAGACGAAATATTCTTTTAGAAATCGCTAAGACATGGGAAGACTAGGATAGGTAGGTCAGTAGAAAGAATTAATCCAAGATATACTTCACTTCAGAGTTGGTTTCTATATCAGTATCATCAATTTTGCAACGGTTGGGCATCAGGTAAGCAACCCTACCCCCATAAAAATGGAGCCACTGTTACCAGAACTTCAGAGCTGAAGCTTAAAGTCCTATGCTCCACTCGGAGAGTAAAGGAATAAAATAAATCATAATAATAATAAATAATAATAATAATTCGCTAACCTTTGAATTGAACTGAATACTGGACTAACTTCACACAGGACATCACCAGACGACAGGACATCACACAGCCATTGTGAAATCGCCTCCCACTCACCACGTATCACTTTATTCAAATTATTCGGATGAATAGGCAGTAAACGATCACTACGTTTAGACATAATTGATGCGGATGCGGGAGCGGAAGCAGATGCCGATGCAGGCAACGATGACAATGACGACGACAGTGCAGATGCCAACGTTAAGGATTGATGTGATGATTTCATTGTTTCACCAGATTTGAGCATGGCTTATGGTATATATCCTTTAGCTTATATATACAAACACATATATGTATAGACAGATGGATAGATAGAGTCTGTATTTTGCTGTTAGTAAAATATATAAACAAGAAAACGGAATAGTTGAAGAGGGGCGGTTAAAATGAAGGAAATCTCAGACAAAAATGTTTAATAAACATTCCCACCTACCCTCCCCCTTTCTCCCTTTCCGCCCCGCCCTTATGAAATAAAATAATAACTCACTGGTGACTTCAACAGGCTTAACACACACACACACACTTATGTGAGTAGAACTCAGTAATCTGGCTGAAATTTATGGAATAATTTGTGTGTGAGAAAGACACACATGAAATTCAGAAAAACCGAAATTAATTAGGCTAAAATAACAACAAGGTTGGATATTCAATCACTCCTGGTAGCGCTGAAACATTTTAACAAACAACAGCGATCAATAACAATAACAGTGTAGTAATATTTGTTTTTACGAGTTTGACCATTGAAAACCAGCCAGCATGGAGTACTGGACAGCTGTTTCACCAGCCTAGCTTGGGAATTACTTCTAGGTTTCGAAACAAGACCAACAAGCCACTGGGACCCAACTCAATGACAGCCAGCCTATGAATTCTAACTTCTACCAATTTGTGATTTAGCGTGACTGGCACCAACCAATGTCATTGGTAGGAAATCAATCCTCACATTTGACATTTGGATGGACGTCACTGGTCACAACTTCTCACTAGAACTCACTCCAGAAAACACCAGCCTGTAGCAAGTCACTAACGAGCACCAGTAGGAATAATGACTCGACGGTTCTAAGGGTGAAAGACGAGATTTCACATGAAGCTTTTGACTTTTATGTAAACAATCGGATATTATACTGGCCATCCGAGAGACAAGAATAATCCATATAGCAGTAATCCCTTCCATTCATTGTAAACTGTAATAATACTTAGATCAGTTATTAATCTTTCTATCAATACACTTAAAAATCACGATTAATAGTCACACATAGGCTGTCTGAAAATACAGTTCTTTCAATAATATGCATTCCGAATGAAACACACAGAGCTTCAGGCTTGAAAACTCACAATGAACCTTTTCTCTACTTCTCTCTTTCGAGTTTAATATCAACCAGGCAAAAAGGCGAGGTTTAGGATAGTGTTAGCCAACAATCAAAACAGAGATTAAGCACTCCACAACTGAACCCCCTGACATACCACTCATGTATACTACTTTAGAGCTATGAAGTAACGACTACTGTAAGCAAGCATGAACAAGAAGGCATAGAATTATGAATTGACAACTAAGTAAATTCAATAAATTCATTTGCAAAACCCTTTTTAATAAATAGTAACGATTAGATGCGCATTGGATAATACAATCACTGAACGCGAGTTTATGAAAACCTTTCGGAATATACTTTACTGTAAAAGTTAGGGTTTACAGATAACTTTATTTGATTTTAAGAATGTGTTGCAGAGAAATGATTTGCACATTTTTGTAGCATCTTGGATAGAATTGTAAACGTCCAGTGGTACACTGAAGACTCATATCCTAATTGTAGAGACTTAAGCACTCGGCTTTAAGCTCTAGTGGGTGTCCTGCATAACCTACCTCATCTTAGGTAACGATTTTCAGATATATTATCAGTTTCAAATCATTAATTCATGGTGGGTCCTGTAGTTCAATGGCAGAATGTTCGCCTGTCATGCAGGAGGTCCTTATTCAACTCCCGACTGATGGGCTCCTAAACTTTACCACCTAGTTCACTAGCCGGTAGTAAGAAGTCTACAACCTTGAAAGGTTGACTGTAAGTCTAACAACCATACCCCTTCCCCCATAAGGAGAAAGAGCACCATCGCCACTGAAACTTCCAGAACCTTGAAGCCACCCCCACCCTTCCACTTGGGATGTAAAGGAAAGGAGAATAGTAGAGGAACCCCCATCTACTCACTCGCCTCTAGAAACAGTAATAAGACAACACACACATCAAGACGTAATTCAGACCGTCGTATGAGTTACACATGCTATATTATGTATTTCATAAAGGATATCATGGTGGGAACAATGTATAAAACTACGGCTCATTGGTGTTTAGGCGCTCAACTTCCAACCAATCGGTCACCGGTTAGGACGCCACTCCACTTAACGAGGTTTAGACAGCCAAGTAGTAGTATCACTAGTCCTCACACACAATAGATAAGTATAGCTCATCGACCAATGCATGGAATTATACAAGCAGTCATTGAGGAAAAATCTCTTCTCCCTCTTTTCCTATCACACTTGTATTTATGCGTTGTAGTGTGATTTACTTTGTTTCGTTTACTCTAGTGGTCGCACCATATGACGAATCGGCAGAAGGTGGAATTCATGGGCTGGCCACTGAATAGGGTTCCAGTGGCTTAATGGTCTATGAGCACGCTGACCTTGTAACCAGAAGGTCCTGGGTTCGAACCCCAGTGAGGGTAGGTGCGTACTGTGAAGAGTTCCAAACAGGGACGAAACAGCTGTTCAGTACTCCCCGGTGGTTTTCCAATGGCTCTCTAACCGATGTCAGTTCATGATGAAATCCTGGAACCAATCAAATCTCCACAAAGGTACACTTGAAAAAAATAACAAAAGAGGTTTAAAACAATGGATGCGAGGTTGGCTAACGAGTAATACCGACGGCCGGTGTTTAGATCACTTCTCAAAATGTGTAAATTACAAATTTCATTAATGGAACTACCAATTCACCTGAGTTATTATTATTATTATTTATTTAAATCCTGGGTGGGTTTGTTAGCCTCACAGCGCAATCTTCCCTCTTTCCTGGGCTTACTATCACCTCAGCGAGGGTTAAGGAGTGCATGCCAATTGGGCATCGAACCCTTGGACTACATGAATAGTTGACGAGTATTCCACCACTGACACCCAAGAAGATAGCCAGATATCAGGTGGTTTGAACGAACTAATTCGGCATTCAAGTATTGGTTTGTATGGATTTTGATTGATTGGTTACAGGAATTCATCTCGAGCTGACATCGGTTAGCGAACCATTGGAAAACCAGCCAGGGAGTACTGGGCAGCTGTTTCTGTAGTCTTAGTTTGGGGCTCTTCAGAAGTACGCATCCACCGGTGTTCGAACCCAGGACCTTCTGGTTACAAGGTGAGCTAGTTCGTAGATCATTAAGCCACTGGGACCCGACACAATGGCCCTTGAATCCCAACTTCTGCCAATTTACGACATAGAGCGACCACCACAAATACTCTTTGAAGACATTGTCCAGTTGTCGCTCTATGTCGTAAATTGGCAGAAGTTAGGATTCAAGGGCCATTGTGTCAGGTCCCAGTGGCTTAATGATCTACGAACTAGCTCACCTTGTAACCAGAAGGTCCTGGGTTCGAACACCGGTGGATGCGTACTTCTGAAGAGCCCCAAACTAAGACTACAGAAACAGCTGCCCAGTACTCCCTGGCTGGTTTTCCAATGGTTCGCTAACCGATGTCAGCTTACGATGAAATCCTATAATTCAACTTTCTTAGCTGAGTTAGTAGGTTGGGGAGGGGGGTGGGGTACACCAATAATGAGCCCAGATGTAAACGACAGAAACGACCGTCCGGTGGTATTTAGACCACTCCGATGTAGATGGTGGCTAGTCTGGCTAGCTGGCCGGTTAGTAAACACTACTGATTAGTATGAGTCCTATACAACTACACATTTCATCAATCAGTAGTGGATATTTTTGTGCAACATCGATGCAAGGTTGATTAACGAACAATACTATCAAAAACAGGCACATAAAAAGGGGGGTTGGGACGGCGGGGGGCGGCGAGGGAGACAAAAACACTGGAAAAAAACACAAACAAACAAACAAACCAAATAATCTATAAGTGAACTTTATATGCACATCGATGGACACAGAGAGAAGAAAAAAGGGAACACATAGTGCAAAATAAACTGATATGTATTTTTCTGTCTTTAAATATGCGCATATACAAATAAATCGTAAATACAATAGACATTCGCAAAACAAAAAGAAAAAAAACAACAGAAGAACAAAAGCAGACGACACATAAACTACTGACGAAAGAAAGGTGACAAGAAGTCAAGAAAGAATCTTCTTTATTCTCTCTTTACATCAGTTGGATTCGCTTTAAGCGATGTCAGTTGACTGTCGACAACTGAGACAGCGATTAACAATTGTCCAGCATAATAAGTTGGCAGGATCAATGTAGACATAAATGATTTCTCTTGGGCAAATACACTTACAGCTAATAAACTATCGGATAGACCAAATAATAAACTGCCTAGTGCACAAGATATCGATGTCCACGGTATAGAATATTCATGTTTGTATAGTTGAGCTACACCGCGCCATACCATTAAAACTAACAATACGCCATAAGCAGGGCAAACTAATCCAGTAAGAAGATTAAAACCTTCTCTCACATAAATACAAATAAATATAAGCCATGGAAGTATGCTGAATAATACGAGTAACTTGAATGGTCGAATACCAAAGGCATGAATATATAAGATATGCGTAATAGCAAAGAAACCCATCCCAGGGATAAAATATTTAGGCCATACTAAACATGCATCACCTATACAAGAAAATAACAGGCCAAGTAAAATTTTCATAGAATAATCTTGTTTCGAAAGAGAGCATTTTACACCATACATATAGACAAAAGCCATAAGTGATAAAATTGGTGCACATTTGAATAGACAATAACCAATCGTTGATTCATGCTTGGGATAGAGAACGTAGAATAAGGCGAATGTTTTGAAAAATATAACTAGACGTGGTCCCAAACATTTCACCTATAAAAGAAACACAGAAAGCATAATATAGCTACTTACAAAGACATGATATACAAATATATATACGGATTAAAGTTGAACAGATTAAGCAGCATATTTGCAAAATAATGACAATAAT